ATTATTGTCAAAGGGTTATATAAATCTGAATTTAAACGATACAAATCTAAAAAGTTAAAATTAAACTAATGCAAGCGCACCAGCCTTTGCCAATTGGACACATTGATAGCCTACACCGTGATCCATTAGCGGCTAGACCGATAACTTCCATCATCAACTAAGTAAAATACATAGACCTAAAGGCGACCAATAAAAACAGTAGAAAATATCCTGTTGAAAATTCGGGTTCTTTCAGTCACAATCTCTCTACTCAGCCCGTCTGCCTCCCTTTCCATCTGCCTTGACCTGAGCTTTGCAACATTGTGAAGTGCAACATTGTATCAACTCTGCAGATTGGCGTGCTCAGGCGTGTGCACTCCCTCAACGTTATCAGAATAGAGAAATAACACGTGCTCATTGCGCACATAGAGCACTCCAAACAGACAATGAAAAAAATAGACAAAACTCCTAAATGATGCTTATGAATTAAACCAAAACTTGTTTCTCACAAGTGTAGCAGGTTGTGAACTCTGCAAACAACGTTTCCACTCCTAGAATGATAACTGTAAATTACTAATACATGCGTTAACAGAAATTAATGTCACCAAATGACGGGGATTAACGATACATTTACTACTGGTGACATACACCTTCCTAATATATATTTTTTTAAATTATACTAAAGACACATTTTCTTCACACATATTTTATATGCGTTTCACTGACAGCAACAACTCAATAAAATCAGGCCTATCGCCACGCGCGCTTCCCAAATAGGCATAGACCTACAGTCGCGGTCAAAGGTTTTGAGAATGACACAAGTATTGGTCTTCACAAAGTTCGCTGCTTCAGTGTTATGTGATAGTTTGGTCAGATGTTACTATGGTATACTGAAGTATATTTACAAGCATTCCATAAGTGTCAAAGGCTTTTATTGACAATTACATTAAGTTTATGCAAAGAGTCAATATTTGCAGTGTTGACCCTTCTTTTTCAAGACCTCTACGATCCGCCCTGGCATGCTGTCAATTAACTTCTGGGCCACATCCTGACTGATGGCAGCCCATTCTTGCTTAATCAATGCTTGGAGTTTGTCAGAATTTGTGGGTTTTTTGTTTGCCCACCCGCCTCTTGAGGATCGACCACAAGTTCTCAATGGGATTAAGGTCTGGGGAGTTTCCTGGCCATGGACCCAAAATGTCAATGTTTTGTTCCCCGAGCCACTTAGTTATCACTTTTGCCTTATGGCAAGGTGCTCAATCATGCTGGAAAAGGCATTGGTCGTCACCAAACTGTGCTTGGATGGTTGGGAGAAGTTGCTCTCGGAGGATGTGTTGGTACCATTCTTTATTCATGGCTGTGTTCTTAGACAAAATAGTGAGTGAGCCCACTCCCTTGGCTGAGAAGCAACCCCACACATGAATGGTCTCAGGATGCTTTACTGTTGGCATGACACAGGACTGATGGTAGCGCTAACCTTGTCTTCTCCGGACACTGTGTTTTCCGGATGCCCCAAACAATCGGAAAGGGGATTCATCAGAGAAAATGACTTTACCCAAGTCCTCAGCAGTCCAATCCCTGTACCTTTTGCAGAATATCAGTCTGTCCCTGATGTTTTTCCTGGAGAGAAGTGGCCTCTTTGCTGCCCTTCTTGACACCAGGCCATCCTCCAAAGGTCTTCGCCTCACTGTGCATGCAGATGCACTCACACCTGCCTGCTGCCATTCCTGAGCAAGCTCTGCACTGGTGGTGCCCCGATCCCGCAGCTGAATCAACTTTAGGAGACGGTCCTGGCGTTCGCTGGACTTTCTTGGGCACCCTGATGCCTTCTTCACAACAATTTAACCGCTCTCCTTGAAGTTCACTCTCCTTTTAAAAGCTTCCAGTCTGTTATTCTAACTCAATCAGCACGACAGAGTGATCTCCAGCCTTGTCCTCGTCAACACTCTCACCTGTGTTAACGAGAGAATCACTGACATGATGGCAGCTGGTCCTTTTGTGGCAGGGCTTAAATGCAGTGGAAATGTTTTTTTGGGGATTAAGTTCATTTTCATGGCAGAGGGACTTTGCAATTAATTGCAATTGATCTGATCACTCTTCATGACATTCTGGAGTATATGCAAATTGGCATCATCAAAACTGAGGCAGCAGACTTTGTGAAAATTAGTATTTGTGTCATTCTCAACTTTTGACCACGACTGTATACACTTGTGATTTGAAACAATATACACACTAAATAAAACAAAAAACACCTAATGATCATCTATGGCAATGTCAAGCTCTCTGGTAAAGTATTTCGAATGATTTTATTTAGACAGGAGTAATTATATAATTTTTGGCAAAACATCAATTTACTTTAGGGGACGCCAGCACCCGAACACTGCTCTTAGCACCCGCCAACCTTCCTTTCTAATTCGCAAGCGGCTGAAATCAGAGATCTGTATATGATGAGATGCTCATGTCTCTGCCCTAACAAATGGGAGTCGTTGTCCCAAAGGAGGAAAGGCAGGCGACCAGTTTAGGTCTGCATATTATGAAACGCATTGGGCTTATTCAGGACTGATTTTGGCGAGAGGGCTTCGCCTCTTCCTTTCTGCTGAAACTAGCGAGCGAAAAAGCGCCGCTCTGCTCTCTACTATATGCAGAACATGTACAGTATCTGATGCTGTCTGGTCAGAAAAAGTATGAGGTCATTTCATCCAAACAGCATCAGATACATGGTCTACACATACGGAGCCGTTTCGCTCGCTCGGATGCTCTATCGGAGATCGAGTCCGTCAGCGCACTTATCGGTCAAATAGATGATCAATATTTCGGACGGGCATGGAGGTACGGTAGGGTGGGGCAGACCCCCAGGGGCCCTGCTGGAGAGCTGCCCTGTACGAGTCTATGACAGCTACTTCCCTAACCACCTCGTAAGTCTAAGGATGTAGACAAAAGAGTCAATGGAAATTGAACTCTCATGACTTCCCCAACCCCGAGGCACGTGAAAAGGTTCCACATTTTACATTACAGTCATTTAGAAGACGGTCTTATCCAGAGTGAGTGCATACATTATTTTTTTTCATACTGGCCCCCCGTAGGAATCAAACCCACAACCCTGGCGTTGCAAGCGCCATGCTCTACCAACTGAGCTACACGGGGCCCAACAGTCCCTCTTGTGAAGGGATGTTCAATGCCAGACATCAATTAGTCACGCTCTGGTCTCAAACCCAATAAGAGACGCTGGTTCCAGAGGACCTATTTCTACTACCACAGAATACTACAAAAGTATTGCAAAATACAAACATTAACAACATCCTGTTGGTTGTGAAAATAAATATAGACATCTTTGAATAGAGTGTGAGAATAAAGATGCAACTTCTTTATTAAAGCTTGGTTTTTCATTATACAAATGTCATAGTTGAAACTGCATGCAGTGGCTTGGTTTGAGGCACGTTACTAAAAAGGACAAATGAGCATTGATCATTTTAAACAAAAAAAATAATCTGACACAGAATTGCATAAATTAATCATTATTTCAGTAAAAATCCAACTATAAAATTAAACCCATTAATTTTAAGCTGTTTTTGTTTTTCCAAGTAGACATATGTATCATAAAATACACAAGTAAAAGGCAACACAAAGGGAGAGACATTAAGAACAAGTTGCAATTAAGACAGTTAAGGAACAGATTCATTTTGCATTGGGGTATTTTGCCGTCATAACTAAATGATATTTAAGGTGAGGGGTACAAAGTCAAACACAAGAGGCATGTAAATCGGTATTATCGCACAGTAAAACATGACCTACAGGCTGGACAAGGGGCAGACAGGGGTCCTTAAGACGACTTGCTTCAGGCCCAGTAAAACGCTGAGTCCTGGACTAGCTGAGGACATTGAACTCAGAGCCAGGTTACTGAGAATGCCTATTCAGGAGTCCTCTGGTAGTTGAACCGTTCAAGACGGCCACTGCCAGTCTTCAAATTTCACCTTTGACACTATTAAAAAGGGAGGATGCTTCGTGATTGGTTTTTAAAATCCATCAACTGGAAGTACTATCCCTTCCCTACGCATCAGGAAAGCACCATGGCTTTCTGGGTTAAAAAGAGAATGCGCTAACGTTGCTCCTACACCACTGTAGGAGGTGCCACATGCCAGTATGGTGATGACGAAGACACTGTTCACACATCAATGGTTGTTTAGACTAACATCTGAATTCATTCTCAGTACTCTTGTTTCTCTTAAAAAGTATATATATATTGCAGCATGAAAAAAAACCCAGTTCTCCCCAGTCAGGGGGTGTGTTAAACAAAGGAGGAGCAAAGAAACAGGCACAAAAAAAAAGGACACCCCGTCATTTTGGGGGGCTTCCCGCACAGTTTCACATCTGTGATAATAAACTAATATTTTCTGTTGACCGTGGTGTGTAGCTTAACCATCACAATTTAGTTTTAAGTGGATCGTTAACAAGAGCTAATAATCCAGATCTAATTTCACCACAGCTCATCTACATTTGGCAAAATGAAAAGTAATTGTAGTAAAGTAAAAAATAGTAATTGGTCACAGTTTCTCTGCTGAATGACTTTGGGCAGGCAGCCCCCTGTCTCTTTGCAGTATACAGTTGGAACGTAAATGGATGATTAAAAATCACCTTGGGACAAAAATAACCGTCAGAAGTGGAACAAAAAAGCCAAAAAGCGATGACTTTTTAAGCCACTGGCTAGTTACGGCTCTTCCCTCTCCTTTACAAGTATATATTTTTGCTTTCTTCTGTTGTTGGTCTCACGCTGTAATCTGACGCATGCCATGTACACAATCCACTTCCTGAACTCTGACCCTTAACCTCAACTGGCTGTTTCCAAACAGGAAGCAGCACTTACACCAAAGAAAGTTAAACGCGTGAAGAAACTGATCCAAAAAAAAAGGATGAATAGTAATATCTATACAACCACTCCTCCCAAAAACATGAAGGGGCGAGGCAGAGTGGCGGCTTCAGGTGTGCGCTGGTCACAGCACTGCCTGCTTTACATGGGAATGTTCTGGGGGGGGGGGGGGGGGGGGGGGAGTGTGGAGGTGTTAGGAAAGAAAGGAGGAGAAGAGGAGCTCACCACACCTCCCTTCTCTCTCTCTTCATGAGCTCTACTCCCACTCTGTGGTGCCGGGAGGTTTGGAGGTCAGGTCAAACATCACCCTGGAGATGCCAGGGATCTTCTTGATCTCATTCACCATCTTCAGCACCACCTGTGGAGCCAGATTGGGGGGGGGGGGGAGAGAGAGAGAGAGAGGAACGAAGAGAGAGAGAGGAGAGAGAGAGAGAGAGAGAGAGAGAGAAGAGAAGAGAAGAGAAGAGAGAGAGAAGAGAAGAGAAGAGAAGAGAGAGAGAGAGAGAGAGAGAGAGAGAGAGAGAGAGAGAGAGAGAGAGAGAGAGAGAGAGAAAAGGGTTAGGGCTGGAGACCTACAGGTTTCTACATCTGCACTGAGAGCAATAGAACAATGTCCGTCTGTCTTTCTAATCCCCCCCTTGTGGCTAGCGGTAGTACCTCTTCAGGGATGTGGTTTCCGGGCGTGGCAGGGATCCCGGTCATGAAGTCTCTGGTGATGAAGGTTCTGACGACCACAGAGCGCCGGCAGGACGGTTGCCTCTGTGAGGAATCTCGGTCAAAGTGCAGCGGGGTCAGGATGACCGGCATCTGACTGATCTTACCAGAGTAACCTGGGAGAAAGAGGGCACATAGTTTCCACACCAGACAGGGTTAGCAATGAGCAGGTCATAAGGGAAGTGTGTTCTATAGGGATGGGGGGGGGGGGTTTGAAATAATTTCACTATTCCAATAGTATCGTGAATGTTTGTTGGCTATCCGAAACACATGTATTTTTTTTACTTCCGTTTTTAACCTGGGCACTGCTGCACGAGGGAGAGACGCTGGCGATCTATTGCTGCAGCTGTGGAGGGGGCGGTGTGTGACGGGCGCAAGCAGACTTTTTATGGGGGCGCACCATGCACATCATAAAAACGACATTGAAAAGTTTGTTATTTTATTAAATTAATAATGTCATAGTATATCCTTGTACGTAACAATGTCACATGGATATGTTCATTTAATTTAGACAAAGCCTGTTAAAATAGGCCTATAATTTTTTCTCTCAAAATTGAATACTCACAAAGTATTTGAATACTAACGTCCGTTTGGATATTCGAATAACCGTCCACATCCCTAGAATTCTACACACTGTATATCTATACTCTATTTCCCGCTCCACACTGAATCCAACCATTCTGCTCCCCTCCTGAAGCGGGAAACTGTTAGATTAATTTGTATTTTAAGAATAATGACTAAAGAATTTCACCCCAAACACAGTATAAATGTTAGAATGATCATGTAGTGTCAACCCACTAACAGAAGGGGCGTTACTAACCATTCAAGGGGGAAGGCGGGAACTGTTTAGAAAAGCCACCTAAAGGTGGGTGGAGTCAAGTTCAGGAAGTATAAAACTGAGTGTATGTGTTTTTGGCGTCAGAGCTCTCCATGAATAAATATACAGATAATACTTGTGGGTTGTGGACCTTGAATCATTGATGATTAAAACACAGAGCCTTACAACCTCTGGTAATGATTCAAGCTTAGGTTGAATTAGAGATAGAAATTCTCTTGACAGAAACCACTTACCAGACTCTCTGAGGATGGAGTGAGCCACGAAGTCTGCCTGTCTGAGTGTGCTGAGAACGCCTGTGGTCAGGAAGGTGGGGGTGATGTCTGTGGGAGGCTCCTTCACATGGGACCCAAATACATACACAACTCTGGAGGGAGGCAGGAGAGAGCAAAGACCCAGACAGTCCATATGGCATCCTGCTAACAGTAAAGGTTTTACTTCATCTACTAACATGTACTGTGTTACCTGTTGATGGTGTGGCACATGCGAGGGATGAGTCTGGCCAGGAACATCAGTGATTCCCAGTGTGGAGCCTCTTTACTGCTGACCCCACAGACATAGCTATAGGACCGACAGTCACCCTACACACACAGAGACAGAAAGAGACAGAGAACAGGTTAGGAGTCTCTTTACAGGTGACCCTACATTCATAGCTATAGGACTGACAGTCACCCTACACTCATAGCTATAGGACCGACAGTCACCCTACACTCATAGCTATAGGACCGACAGTCACCCTACACACACAGAGACAGAAAGAGACAGAGAACAGGTTAGGAGTCTCTTTACAGGTGACCCTACATTCATAGCTATAGGACTGACAGTCACCCTACACTCATAGCTATAGGACCGACAGTCACCCTACACTCATAGCTATAGGACCGACAGTCACCCTACACACACAGAGACAGAAAGAGACAGAGAACAGGTTAGGAGTCTCTTTACAGGTGACCCTACACTCATAGCTATAGGACTGACAGTCACCCTACACTCATAGCTATAGGACCGACAGTCACCCTACACTCATAGCTATAGGACCGACAGTCACCCTACACACACAGAGACAGAAAGAGACAGAGAACAGGTTAGGAGTCTCTTTACAGGTGACCCTACACTCATAGCTATAGGACTGACAGTCACCCTACACTCATAGCTATAGGACCGACAGTCACCCTACACTCATAGCTATAGGACTGACAGTCACCCTACACTCATAGCTATAGGACTGACAGTCACCCTACACTCATAGCTATAGGACCGACAGTCACCCTACACTCATAGCTATAGGACTGACAGTCACCCTACACTCATAGCTATAGGACTGACAGTCACCCTACACTCATAGCTATAGGACTGACAGTCACCCTACACTCATAGCTATAGGACTGACAGTCACCCTACACTCATAGCTATAGGACTGACAGTCACCCTACACACACACACACACACACACTAGAGCTTCAGCTAGGACCACTTATGTACGCTATAGAGGTTCTCTCTTGACCAACACTTAATTATTGTGATGATTAGTCAATCAAACGTGATCTATTGGGTTCCATCCTTCACATTTAGACTTCATTAACAGACTGGGGGATTTGAGGCCTTTCTGTTAGTCATTTCCCTCTACTCTCAGCCAAACTCATTATTTAAACTCCACAGAGAATAATACGCCCTTCCGTTTATACTCCTGTGTCTCTCCTACTCCCCTTAACAACACACACACACACTCTTTCTGGGGTAAATTTAGTCCTCTGTGGCTTTCTGCAGGAAGTGAGGGGGAGACACACCCACTACTGAATTGGTCGGAGCCAGCTGTGTCATCATTCCATTACCGATGCACTTGTCAACAAAAACATTGTCTAGCCACAACGCCCCCGCGTGTATTTCACAACCTGGGGCTGAAGGAAATTAAGTACATCTCCAAAACACCATTTGACACTGCTGAGAGGCCAAACAGACATTGCCCCTAACCACAGATCTAGGATCAGATTACCCCGCCCCAATCCTAACCCTAACCATTAGCAGGATAAAAAAAAGATCTGACACGGTATCGGTGAATACCCTGGCAGTAGCAGTGCTATCCTGTTATAGTGAGAGGGACATGGCTGCTGGGTGAAGGAATACCAGGGAGTGTCAAACTAGTCCTGCCATGGCTGCTGGGTGAAGGAACACCAGGGAGTGTCAAACTAGTCCTGCCATGGCTGCTGGGTGAAGGAACACCAGGGAGTGTCAAACTAGTCCTGCCATGGATGCTGGGTGAAGGAACACCAGGTAGTGTCAAACTAGTCCTGCCATGGCTGCTGGGTGAAGGAACACCAGGGAGTGTCAAACTAGTCCTGCCATGGATGCTGGGTGAAGGAACACCAGGGAGTGTCAAACTAGTCCTGCCATGGATGCTGGGTGAAGGAATACCAGGGAGTGTCAAACTAGTCCTGCCATGGATGCTGGGTGAAGGAATACCAGGGAGTGTCAAACTAGTCCTGCCATGGCTGCTGGGTGAAGGAACACCAGGGAGTGTCAAACTAGTCCTGCCATGGATGCTGGGTGAAGGAACACCAGTCCCAAACCACAGGCTAACATTAGGCCTAGCTACACCACACACTGTCAAGAGAGGGAGGGACAGAAAGAAGAATGAGACTGAGGTTTGTACTGTTCTGAGTGTGTCTGTTCTACAATGTAGACACTATGGATTTCTCCTTTAATGCAAACAGCTGGTCTGAATTCCCCAAAAGAAACAGATGGAAGAACAGAACAGACAGACAGACATACAGCCCACTGTGTCATCAAGGGTGCTGTTGACCACAGAGCCTAGGTAATGTAATTGGGCAGACAGACAGACATACAGCCCACTGTGTCATCAAGGGTGCTGTTGACCACAGAGCCTAGGTAATGTAATTGGGCAGACAGACAGACATACAGCCCACTGTGTCATCAAGGGTGCTGTTGACCACAGAGCCTAGGTAATGTAATTGGGCAGACAGACAGACATACAGCCCACTGTGTCATCAAGGGTGCTGTTGACCACAGAGCCTAGGTAATGTAATTGGGCAGACAGACACATATAGCCCATTGCTGTAGACCACAGAGCCTAGGTAATGTAATTGGGCAGACAGACATTCAGCCCACTGTGTCATTAAGGGTGCTGTTGACCACAGAGCCTAGGTAATGTAATTGGGCAGACAGACATTCAGCCCACTGTGTCATTAAGGGTGCTGTTGACCACAGAGCCTAGGTAATGTAATTGGGCAGACAGACATTCAGCCCACTGTGTCATTAAGGGTGCTGTTGACCACAGAGCCTAGGTAATGTAATTGGGCAGACAGACACATATAGCCCATTGCTATAGACCACTTGCCTGATGACTCAAACTGAATTCTTCCGCTGCTCTATGTTCCCTACAGTGGCGGTCGGTGACGTTTTAAAGATGGGAGCGGAAGATTTTTTTATTTATATGAGCATGTTCTTATTTCTATTACAGCATATTGGATGACTTTCATTCATATTCCATTCACCCAGCTCAATGTAACATCGATAGGTTTAGGCTACTACATGATACTCAAATATTCCCTATACCCATCATGAGGTTGCTCCAACCTAGCCTATGAATGAAAGTTAACAATGTAGGTGCACAGATCGAGAGAAATTAGCTGATCTGGGGTGTAATCATTAGTCCAACAGTTGCAAACAAGAGTTTCTATTGGACAAATTCAGTTATGTTTATCCCCATTTCGTTCCGTTTGCTTCCGTTTAAGAAACGTTTTTCGACAGAATTGGCGGAATGAATACACCCCTGATCACACGCAAACAGTTCACTTTCATAGCAGCCACATACAAACAGCATGATCATTTTGCTCGTTGTAGAATTCCTCCTCTCCTCCTCTCACCTCTTCCCTTTGCTTGTGGACTTCAGTGAACAACACATTAGCTGTTTGTGACCAGGTGAAAAAAATAATTTCCAAGCCAAACCTTCATATCATAACCGCTAAACACAGCCTACATCGTTGTCACCATATTAGCAAACGTCATAGCTAGTCAACATAGCTACTAGAACTAAAACGTTAGTAAACTTGCTACAACCACGCAGTACAGTGTACAGTCAGCAAGCAGTTTAGCAGTTACACCGGCGGGCCCCGGTGGCAATAAATTAATAAAACCAAAAGCTTACCTTGACTTGGAAGAGTTCCAGTGTTTAATAACCATAGCCAGCTAGCTAACATAGCATCCCTCTCTGTTTGAGTAGGCATTCACACTAGCTAAGTGAAAGAGAAATAAAATACAATGAAATATAGCTAGCTAGCGCTCTCTCGCCTCTCCTTCATTTTTAAATAAATGAATTTGTTCAAAACTGTTCAACTATTGTCTTTCTCTCTCTTTGAGTCAACTACTCACATTTTATGCACTGTAGTGCTAGCTAGCTGTAGCTTATGCTAAAGTACTAGAATAAATATCTGATCCTTTGATTGAGTGGACAACATTTCAGTTCATGCTGCAAGAGCTCTGATAGGTTGGAGGACGTCCTCCGGAAGTAGTCATAATTACTGTGTAAGTCTATGGAAGGGGGTGAGAGCCATGAGCCTCCTAGGTTTTGTATTGAAGTCAATATACCCAGAGGAGGACGGAAGCTAGCTGTCCTCCGGCTACACCATGTTGCTACCCTACAGAGTGCTGTTGAGGCTACTGTAGACCTTCATTGCAAAACAGTGTGTTATAATCAATTATTCTGTGACATGCATTACTTTCCCCAGCAAGAAAACCCAAAATGTCACTCAAACAGAAGAGGGAACTAACAAAGTCACTGACCAACAACCAAATCAGGTGTGGTTTTAAGAGGGGTTCTGAAAGACACTCGTGGGGGTGTCCACTGACAGTTGACTAGCAACAACTGCAACCTAAAAGGCGCCCACAAATGTTATTATATATTTTTTTTGTACTTTTTACCCCTTTTTTTGTGATATCCAAATTGGTAGTTACAGTCTTCTTCTTGACACACTGCTCGCTTAACCCGGAAGCCAGCCGCACCAATGTGTCGGAGGAAACACAGTACAACTGGCGACCGTAGTAAGCGTGCATGCGCCCGGCCCGCCACAAGGAGTCGCTAGAGCGCGATGAGACAAGGACATCCCGGCCGGCCAAAGCCCCTAACCCGGACGACGCTGGGCCTATTGTGCGCAGCCTCATGGGTCTCCCGGTCGCAGCAGGCTGCGACACAGCCTTGGAGCGAACCAGGGTCTGTAGTGACGCCTCTACCACTGCGATGCAGTGCCTTAGACCGCTGGGCCACTCGGGAGGCCCCAGCCCCCACAAAATTTGCCCAAGAAGAGGCAAACAAAAGAAAAAAAAACGACACCAAACTTAAAGACAGGAAGCAAACCAAAAACAGATAAATTATTGTTTGTCTAGAAATCTAAATAGGGAAATAAATAAATTAGAGAGAGGTGTTGACCCTCCGCATCTATCAAGACAACTGGAGCACTGGGCCAGTCGCTCTTAAAATAGCACCTGGGCCAGCACAGGTCAAACACCTTCCCACTAACGAGATGGTAACCAGCACAGGTGTAACACATACTGACTAATGATGTGACACCAATCAGTGCGCCTTACGCGCTAATGAGCTATATGCGCTAAAGTCCAACCTCAAAACATAAATGGAAAAACCAAAGCCTGTAACATGAATATATTTATACTGAACAAAAATATAAAATGCAACAATTTCAAAAACTTTACTGAGTTACAATTCATAGAAAAAAAATCAGTCAATTGAAAAAAATTAATTAGGCCCTAATCTATGGATTTCACATAACTGGGCAGGGGTGCAGCCATGGGTGGGCCTGGGAGGGCATAGGGGTGCAGCCATGGGTGGGCCTGGGAGGGCATAGGCCCACCCACCGGGGAGCCAGGCCCAGACAATCAGAATGAGTTTTATTACAGACAGAAATCCCCCCCCCCCCCAAGTTGACCAGAGCCCAGGTTAAATGTTGGTTTATTTTCGGTTTTTAAATAACTAATTGAAAACAAATGTAATTTTGCTACATGTAACCGGTGTGAAATGGCTAGCTAGTTAGCGGTGCCTGCTAGTTGCGTTTCAATCGGTGACATCACTCGCTCTGAGACCTTGAAGCAGTTGTTTCCCTTACTCTGCAAGAGTAGCGGCTTTTGTGGAGCGATACGTAACAATGCTTCGTGGGAGGCAGTTGTTGTGTTCAGAGGGTCCCTGGTTCGAGCCCAGGTTAGGGCGAGGAGAGGGACAGAAGCAACAATTCCATAAACTACATATAAGCTGCAATGGGCAGTCACTAGCCAACCATCACTGGGGTTTTATGAAATAATAAAGTCATCATCATACTAAAAAACAAATATGTAATATAAAAAAATATATATATAAAAAAAATGTTTAAAAAAATATACAGAACCAAAATATTTTACTTAAGTAATGTGAATAAATTATGGTTAGTGGCAGTAATGGGCACTACCATCAATTGTTTTATTAGGTGTTGTTACAGCATTCCACCCACATAATGCCTTTAGCCTATTCTTAAAAAAAAAAAATCGACACCGAAATTGAAAACTGTGTTGTTGTTTAACAAATCCGAACCAACCTCAAATTGCTCAGCACCAAGAATCAGATACACCCATCTATCCCTGCTCACAGACACGATAGGAAGCCTCAGTCAGGTGACCAGTAGCCAAAGACAACTGTAGATCAGTGGTCCTCTGTAACTCCCTTGGTAGAGCATGGCTCTTGCAACGCCAGGATAGTGGGATCAATTTCCAGGACCACCCGTACATTTCTAGAAGTCGGAGGTCACATACAGACAGCGACCAGCCTCGTGGCGAGCAGTGCTTAGTGTGAGTGTAAGAAGTGTTACCTGGACTCCAACGGTCTTGATTGGAAGCAGGAAGGCATTGAGTGAATGAAGACTGGTGATCTGCAGGAGTTTCTCCTCCTCCTCGTCTGATATACACGACTTCACTCTCTGCAGTAACGTGTGGGGCTGGAGGGACAGAGTAAGTTATGATTATTAACAAACTAGTCTGACATACTAGAGTTAGTTATCAGCATGTCTGTGCACAAAGAAGGACAGTTGGGGTCAATTCCATCAATTCCATCTACAGTCCATTCTAGAATTCCATGTCCAATTAAGCTCAAATTGAAATGGAATCGAGATAAACTCTGTTATTGACAGTGTTCCGGTCATAGACTAGTGATGCTGTGCCCTCTGACCTTTTTGACCATGGCGGAGAAGTCTGTGATGATCTTGAGGATGTTGTTGGTCTCAGCAAAGTCCTTACAGATGTAGGGCTCGTCCGCACAGATCACTCTGATGGCCAGGCCAGGACCTAGAGGAGGATGGGGTTAACATCACAGCCATACTTCTGCTATTATCTTTGTTGATTCCAAATGTCCATGAATGAATAAATAAAATATATACACACACAGCTCTGGAAAAAATTAAGAGACCACTGCAATTTTTTCTTAAATCAGCATCTCTACATGTATGACAGCCATTCCATTCCAGTGTCTGTTGAATTCCAACACAGGCACACCTCATTCTACTGAATTAGGTACTGATTAGGTGATCGTCTGAACCAGAGTGTGCAAAGCTGTCATCAAGGCAAAGGGTGGCTATTTGAAGATTTGTTTAACACTTTTTTGGTTACTACATGATTCCATGTGTTATTTCATAGTTTTGATGTCTTCACTATTATTCTACAATGTAGAAAATAGTCAAAATAAAGAAAGCCCTGGAATGAGTAGGTGTGTCCAAACTTTTGACTGGTACTGTATATATACAGTGGGGAGAACAAGTATTTGATACACTGCCGATTTTGCAGGTTTTCCTACTTACAAAGCATGTAGAGGTCTGTAATTTCTATCATAGGTACACTTCAACTGTGAGAGACGGAATCTAAAACAAAAATCCAGAAAATCACATTGTATGATTTTTAAGTAATTAATTTGCATTTTATTGCATGACATAAGTATTTGATACATCAGAAAAGCAGAACTTAATATTTGGTACAGAAACCTTTGTTTGTAATTACAGAGATCATACGTTTCCTGTAGGTCTTGACCAGGTTTGCACACACTGCAGCAGGGATTTTGGCCCACTCCTCCATACAAACCTTCTCCAGATCTTTCAGGTTTCGGGGCTGTCACTGGGCAATACGGACTTTCAGCTCCCTCCAAAGATGTTCTATTGGGTTCAGGTCTGGAGACTGGCTAGGCCACTCCAGGACCTTGAGATGCTTCTTACGGAGCCACTCCTTAGTTTCCCTGGCTGTGTGTTTCGGGTCGTTGTCATGCTGGAAGACTCAGCCACGACCCATCTTCAATGCTCTTACTGAGGGAAGGAGGTTGTTGGCCAAGATCTCGCGATACATGGCCCCATCCATCCTCCCTTCAATACGGTGTAGTTCTGGGCTGATCCCTCACCTTCCTCATGATCATTGATGCCCCACGAGGTGAGATCTTGCATGGAGCCCCAGACCGAGGGTGATTGACCGTCATCTTGAACTTCTTCCATTTTCTAATAATTGCGCCAACAGTTGTTGCCTTCTCACCAAGCTGCTTGCCTATTGTCCTGTAGCCCATCCCAGCCTTGGCAGGTCTACAATTTTATCCCTGATGTCCTTACACAGCTCTCTGGTCTTGGCCATTGTGGAGAGGTTGGAGTCTGTTTGATTGAGTGTGTGGACAGGTGTCTTTTATACAGGTAACGAGTTCAAAACAGGTGCAGTTAATACAGGTAATGAGTGGAGAACAGGAGGGCTTCTTAAAGAAAAACTAACAGGTCTGTGAGAGCCGGAATTCTTACTGGTTGGTAGGTGATCAAATACTTATGTCATGCAATAAAATGCAAATTAATTACTTAAAAATCATACAATGTGATTTTCGGGATTTTTGTTTTAGATTCCGTCTCTCACAGTTGAAGTGTACCTATGATAAAAATTACAGACCTCTACATGCTTTGTAAGTAGGAAAACCTGCAAAATCGGCAGTGTATCAAATACTTGTTTTCCCCACTGTAACATTCTATTCTGTGTTGGTTCCAAATGTTCCATGACTATATATAACATTCTATTCTGTGTTGATTCTAAATCAGGGATCATCAACTATGTTTTTCTTGAGTGGATGGTCGGGGGGCCAGAACATAATAAATATATATATTTTTAGACTGCAAATTGACCGCAAGAAGCCTAAACAGATATAATATTTGACTAAAACAAACATTTCAAACCTTGATTATATTTGAGAACATAGTCCTGCGTAGGGTGCAGTCCTTCGGATGGGACGTTAAAACGGGTGTCCTGACTCTGTGGTCATTCAAAATCCCATGGCACTTATTGTAAGAGTAGGGATGTTCACCCCGGTGTCATGGCTAAATTCCCAACCTGGCCACATTTCATCGTGGCCACCTAATCATCCCCCTCATTCCTAATTGACATATATCCCTCCTCACCTCTCCACCTGATGTGTAGTGAGCGTTCTGGCACAAAAATAGTCGCCGTGCATCACTGAGGTGGGTGCTACACATTGATGGTGGATGAGGTGAGTTTCCCCCTACTATGTAAAGCGCTTTGAGTACCTCAGTTGGTAGAAAAGTGCTATATAAATCCAATCAATTATTATTAAATTGTAAATGATCACATCTCTCTATTACGCATGGAAATACTTGGGAACAGATTTCCAAAATTAAAGTCACTTGGAGATGATTTTCTGGTGTTTGTACAGTCTTTTATGTCCTACAATGGGGACCCTGTTCTAAATGTTCCATGACTATATAACATTCTATTCTGTGTTGGTTCTAAATGTTCCATGACTATATATAACATTCTATTCTGTGTTGGTTCTAAATGTTCCATGACTATATATATAACATTCTATTCTGTGTTGGTTCTAAATGTTCCATGACTATATAACATTCTATTCTGTGTTGGTTCTAAATGTTCCATGACTATATAACATTCTATTCTGTGTTGGTTCTAAATGTTCCATGACTATATAACATTCTATTCTGTGTTGGTTCTAAATGTTCCCATGACTATATAACATTCTATTCTGTGTGTGTACGGTGGAGTACTGACCAGGGAAAGGGTGTCGACAGACGATGTCCTCTGGCAGTCCCAGTTCTCTGCCCAGTGCCCGTACCTCATCCTTATGGAAGTCCTTCAGCGGCTCAATGACTTTTCCCTGGAGGGAATGAGAGAGACAGTTCAGACCAGATGTCACAAATTTCATGACTTGAGACTCGACTTGTTAGAAAATAAAATAACTTCAGAATTGACTTGGACTTGGAGCCTCAAGACTCCGGACTCAACATTGACTTGAGGTTGATGACTTGAAATTACAATGCCTTCGGAAAGTATTCAGATCCCTTGACTTTTTTCACATTTTGTTACGTTACAGCCTTTTTCTAAAATGGATTAAATATATATTTTTCTTCTCAGCAATCTACACACAATACCCCATAATGACAAAGCGAAAACAGGGTTGAATGCCAAGCGTCACGTCTGGATGAAACCTGGCACCATCCCTATGGTGAAGCATGGTGGTGGCAGCATCATGCTGTGGGGATGTTTTTCAGTGACAGGGACTGGGAGTCTATTCAGGATCGAGGCAAAGATGAACGGAGCAACGTACAGAGTGATCCTTGATGAAAACCTGCTCCAGAGCTCTCAGCACCTCAGACTGGGGCGAAGGTTCACCTTCCAACAGGACAACGACCCTAAGCACACAGCCAAGACAACGCAGGAGTGGCTTCGGGCCAAGTCTCTGAATGTCCTTGAGTGGCCCAGCCAGAGCCCGGACTTGAAGCCGATCGAACATCTCTGGAGAGAACTGAAAATAGCTGTGCAGCGACGCTCCCCATCCCACCTGACAGACAGTATTGCACTTGCAACAAGCAAAAAAAACGATTGCCTAGTGAAACGCACACTCAGCCCAGCAAACTGTCAATCAACACAGGTCGGGTGAGCTAGCGCAGTGAGAAGGTTTTGGGGGAAGTGTGAAACTGAATGGGGAAAATATTTTTTCCATACATATTTTAATAGGTTATGTATAGCCTACCATTTGTATTCATACCTTTGCTTATTCGATCTGGTCACTAACATAAGCCTACCGCATTGCACCAAATTCTTGTTTCAAAAACATCTAATCTGTGTTTCAGAACCACAAAGTTGCACATCTTGACTGTTGACCAACGACCAGTCATCAGCATTGGCGCACAAAGGCGGGCGCACATATCCAGATTAGTGACCAAAATGCACTTGCCTGGCAAAAACAGAGTAGCCTATAGATTATCCATATAAAGTAACATTTAGCGATCTGCTACAGACACATACGTACCACAACAATAGGATACCTGGTAATTTCATTGATCATTTTCATATTTCAGAAAGGTGGGTTATAATTCTCTACCTCAGTGTTGGGTACTGGCTAGATGTCTAAAGATAGCTGTAACATCACACTACCTTCACACTTTATGGGATGAAGATGAAGAGGTAACATTCTGGCAAATGAATGATTTCTGTGAGGAAGAAAAAGTTTACAGACAGATCATGCTTTCCACCCGATCCTGCAACCTCCGCTGCATTCAGGTAGGCCGTATGATCCTGCTGCATACAGGTAGGCCGTATGATCCTGCTGCATACAGGTAGGCCGTATGATCCTGCTACATACAGGTAGGCCGTATGATCCTGCTACATACAAGTATGCCGTATGATCCTGCTTCATACAGGTAGGCCGTATGATCCTGCTGCATACACGTAGGCCGTATGATCCTGCTTCATACAGGTAGGCCGTATGATCCTGCTGCATACAGGTAGGCCGTATGATCCTGCTTCATACAGGTAGGCCGTATGATCCTGCTTCATACAGGTAGGCCGTATGATCCTGCTACATACAGGTAGGCCGTATGATCCTGCTACATACAGGTAGGCCGTATGATCCTGCTTGCTCTGGACTCCAGACAAGTGACAATGCGACATGATATCCCTAGTTCATATTGACTGCTAAGATGAATGACCTTCAGCTCAAAATGCAGCTGTAAAACGCAGTTTATTTGTGTATTTTGCGTTTTGAAAATGCATCACTGTTTATGGCTATAATGACAGGCTATATTTACGCAGCGATTGTGCGCGCGTCGTCGCCCTGTGCACTTGGGTCGCAAGGCTTTGAACCACTCCTTTTTGGGGGTCGCGGGGTCAAAAAGTTTGAAAACCACTGAGCTAGTGAACAGATTGCTGATTTGCTGTACATATATAGGATTGGGTGCAGCGCAAATGTCCAATTGTAGGGAGAGGATTGTCATAATAAATAAATATGCAGTCCCAAAAAGAAATGTTGATCAAGAATATGAACTGTTTACTTTGCTACAAGATCACCAGCAATGGAGCATCAAGCAACACGTACTAGCATAGGCATACTGGGCTTTTAGTATGTCAAAATTGCTTGAAATTGATCATTTACTTATGAAGCATTTGTAATTTGTTAAAATGTATTATTACATAATCATTTGTAGACTAAATAATTAAAAAGGCTGTCTGGTAGCCTCAATAAATAGACAAAGATTTGTAGTTGAAAAAGTCATTGCCTGTATAGATTTTTTTTTTTTACTTGAGACTTGACTTGCTCTTAGAATGCACGACTTGGACTTGACTCAACCCATTCTACTTGGGACACAACGTGGACTTGACTCAACCCGTACTACTTGGGACACGACTTGGACTTGACTCAACCCGTACTACTTGGGACACAACGTGGACTTGACTCAACCCGTTCTACTTGGGACACGACTTGGACTTGACTCAACCCGTACTACTTGGGACACAACGTGGACTTGACTCAACCCGTTCTACTTGGGACACGACTTGGACTTGACTCAACCCGTACTACTTGGGACACGACTTGGACTTGACTCAACCCGTACTACTTGGGACACGACTTGAACTTGACTCAACCCGTACTACTTGGGACACGACTTGAACTTGACTCAACCCGTACTACTTGGGACACGACTTGGACTTGACTCAACCCGTACTACTTGGGACACAACGTGGACTTGACTCAACCCGTACTACTTGGGACACAACGTGGACTTGACTCAACCCGTACTACTTGGGACACGACTTGGACTTGACTCAACCCGTACTACTTGGGACACGACTTGGACTTGACTCAACCCGTACTACTTGGGACACGACTTGGACTTGACTCAACCCGTACTACTTGGGACACGACTTGGACTTGACTCAACCCGTACTACTTGGGACACGACTTGGACTTGACTCAACCCGTACTACTTGGGACACGACTTGGACTTTCCTCAACCCGTACTACTTGGGACACGACTTGGACTTGACTCAACCCGTACTACTTGGGACACGACTTGGACTTGACTCAACCCGTACTACTTGGGACACGACTTGGACTTGACTCAACCCGTACTACTTGGGACACGACTTGGACTTTCCTCAACCCGTACTACATATTATTATTATTACTTGGTACACGACTTGGACTTGACTCAACCCGTACTACTTGGGACACGACTTGGACTAAGATTTGTAGTTGAAAAAGTCATTGCCTGTATAGATTTTTTTTTTTTACTTGAGACTTGACTTGCTCTTAGAATGCACGACTTGGACTTGACTCAACCCGTTCTACTTGGGACACAATGTGGACTTGACTCAACCCGTACTACTTGGGACACGACTTGGACTTGACTCAACCCGTACTACTTGGGACACGACTTGGACTTGACTCAACCCGTACTACTTGGGACACGACTTGGACTTGACTCAACCCGTACTACTTGGGACACGACTTGGACTTGACTCAACCCGTACTACTTGGGACACGACTTGGACTTGACTCAACCCGTACTACTTGGGACACGACTTGGACTTTCCTCAACCCGTACTACATATTATTATTATTACTTGGTACACGACTTGGACTTGACTCAACCCGTACTACTTGGGACACGACTTGGACTAAGATTTGTAGTTGAAAAAGTCATTGCCTGTATAGATTTTTTTTTTTTACTTGAGACTTGACTTGCTCTTAGAATGCACGACTTGGACTTGACTCAACCCGTTCTACTTGGGACACAATGTGGACTTGACTCAACCCGTACTACTTGGGACACGACTTGGACTTGACTCAACCCGTACTACTTGGGACACAACGTGGACTTGACTCAACCCGTTCTACTTGGGACACGACTTGGACTTGACTCAACCCGTACTACTTGGGACACAACGTGGACTTGACTCAACCCGTTCTACTTGGGACACGACTTGGACTTGACTCAACCCGTACTACTTGGGACACGACTTGGACTTGACTCAACCCATACTACTTGGGACACGACTTGAACTTGACTCAACCCGTACTACTTGGGACACGACTTGGACTTGACTCAACCCGTACTACTTGGGACACGACTTGGACTTGACTCAACCCGTACTACTTGGGACACGACTTGGACTTTCCTCAACCCGTACTACATATTATTATTATTATTATTATTACTTGGTACACGACTTGGACTTTCCTCAACCCGTACTACATATTATTATTATTATTATTATTATTACTTGGTACACGACTTGGACTTGACTCAACCCGAACTACTTGGGACACGACTTGGACTTGACTCAACCCGTACTACTTGGGACACGACTTGGACTTGACTCAACCCGTACTACTTGGGACACGACTTGGACTTGACTCAACCCGTACTACTTGGGACACGACTTGGACCACCTCTAGCTCATACAGAAGGAAACAGCTCTGAGACATGCTTTCAAGGTTGTGTTTGAAGTTTGTTTCAGTGAGTGTGGGTGTACCTCATCTCTCAGCTTGCGGATGAGCTCTGTGTCGTTGTGGTGTGTTTTGATGACCTCTGCCTTGCCGCTGGCGAGGTGAGAAGCACTCTCTATGAGGTCTGGCCTCAGGGTGCCCTGGGCTAGGAACACCTCCTCCGGCTTCAGGTTCATCTCCCCTATCACCTCATTGGCCACCTACAGACGCCAATCACACACAAAGGAAGTCCATTCAATAGTCTTGAGGAAAAAAAGAGGGACAAATAGACAGAAAGAGACTCACAGACAGACACAGATAATAGACTAGGTTGAAGGTAAAGCCTAGAAGAAGTTATGATTCCATGTGGAAGTTTTTCCAAAAATAAACAGATTCATGGGCTTGTAAGTAAGCATTTCACAGTAAGGTATACACCTGTTGTATTCGGCGCATGTGACAAATACAATTTGATTTGACCAGCGCCGTTGCTAACTACCAGCGTTGTTGCTAACTAGCATAGCTGGTCCATTGTTGCAAAGAGTTATGGGATATTAGAATCCTCTAACCTTTGTCATCTTCAACCGATAACAGACAGGCAGTACCTTGACGAAGGTATCTCCGATGATCTTCCTCTTCTCCTCAGGGTTGGTGGTCATGTTGAGGGTCTTGCTGATGCGTTTCCGTGGCGTCCGGTCTTCATCAGAGATGGGCAGGGTCGTCGTGCCGTTATAGAAAGTGTGTGCTGCGTTCACCACTGGAGGGAGGGAGGGGGAGAGAGAGATCACGCAGACCCACAAAGAATTAGAAAACAAGTCAAACATTGATAAACATATCTGTTAGTTGAAATACCGCACTATGCAACCACAACAGCAAGATTTGTGGCCCGTTGCCATGAGAAAAGGGCAACCAGTGGAGCACAAACATTGTAAATACAACCCACAGTATTATTTATCTGTTTATTTACTTTCCCTTTCATACTTCAACTACTTGCACATTGTTACAACACTGTACATAGCCACTAATATATCATTTGAAATGTCTTTATTCTTTTATAACTTTTGTGAGTGTGATTATTTTGTTTTATATACATAGCCAGGCACATGTATGGTCTGGTTGAAGGCTACATTCCATAATGCTACATTTGAGTCCATTCTGGACAGGTGTAGGACACCAGCTTGGCTTGACCTCTCACCTTTGAGGTTGATGCCCAGTTAGGCTTGACCTCTCACCTTTGAGGTTGACACCTAACTTGGCTTGACCTCTCACCTTTGAGGTTGATGCCCAGTTTGGTGAGGGCCTCCTCAACGCTCTGGCTCTCTCTCTTCCTCATGAAGCCGTTGTCGATGTGCACCGCGATCACCTGCTCCTGGTTCAGAGCTTTGTTCAGCAGGGCCGTACACACCGTGGAGTCCACCCCGCCACTCAGCAGAACCTGGGGACAACATAGCCAGGACTAAAAAAAAAAAAAAACTTCCACACACAGCGTCTCCGTTTCTATCTCTCTGGAGGGACCCACTCAGACCCACTCTCTAGGAGCAGAAGGATTCGATCACATCGTTTCAGCAGAGAACACACTTTCATTTCACTGTCTAATAACTCAGATTCATTTCCTACGCCCTCCCCCTCTCAGGGTCTCTATGTTCTATTCTATGGGGCACATGTAGTACACCCACAGACTGCACCGAACCATACTGTGGATTCCTTACCAGCACTTTGGACTTGCCAACTTTCTCCTGAATCTCTGTGATACAGGACTGCTGGCGGTTCTGGACGGTGAAGTTGGAAGTGCAGCCGGCGATTTCAAACAGGAAGTTACGTAATATCTCTGTGCCCCGCTCCGTCAGGTCCACTTCCGGGTGAAACTGGGTCCCGTACAGCTTCTTCTGCTCATTAGCAATACCTGTCAGAGAACAGGGGGGGCAGTGGTGAGGTGTGGGAGGTCAAAGACGAGGGCAAAGAAGGGTTGGGGATGGAAGAAGGGCCAATGGGCTTCATGATCATATTGTGGAATTGACTGAAAGTAGGGAAGTATGGTGGTAGACTAAATTAGTCTAAAATATCATTTTCCTCCAGGCCAAGGATCCTTTCCCAGAATGCTTACCTGCAATGATGCTCCCCGACTGGGCCACCACCTTGAAGCCATCGGCCACCTTGTCCACACTGTCCCCATGAGTCAACAGCACCAGCTCCTCTTTCTGCAGGCCCCTGACAACATCAAGTCACACACAGGGTCAAAGGTCAGACAGGAAGTATATTCACACACAGGCACAATGAAACCTGAAGTAATTCCACCCATATCTGGAACCAGAGGGAACAAAGCGGCAGCAAGCAGCCACAATGTGCTTGTGTCTGACTGTGTGTAATGTCTGAGAGAGGGAGGAATGTGGTTTTCTTATTTTGGAGTGTTTGTGTGACGGCAAAGGGAAACTATGTGACTGTTGGAATTTTGGTCCAGTTCACGTCAAACACATGGCTCTGGGACAAACCAATGAAAACCACTTGTTCTTGAAATAGCCTACCACTTCACTTCTTCTCTCTGAGTGGTTATGGTGAAACTGTTTTCTGAAGAATCATTAGTTCTTCTTAACCCACCTGAAGAGAGAGCAGGTGTTGTCCAGTCCGATGTTGAACACTCCATCCTCCCTCACACTCTTCCTGTGTACTGTGCCTCCAAAAACTTTATTCATCATCTGGGGAGAGGACAATTGATCATTAGCCTCTTAAATCTGCATTTTGTATTGATTGAAAGATCTAATTTAAATTTGTATGTGATCATAAGAAACTGATTCTTAGTGGTTTTATCCAATTGATCTGTCTAGACACACTGTTATTGACTCTAGGTGATGATGTCATGAACACAGAGTTTCATGCTATGGTCTTCTGGAGGGAGGTTTTGTGTACAGTGCCTTCGGAAAGTATTCAGACCCCTTGACTTTTTCCACTTTGTTACGTTAAGTCTTATTCTAAAATGGATTGAATACAAAAAATCCTTAGCAATCTACACACAATACCCCATAATGACAAAGCGAAAACAGGTTTATAGACATTTTAGCACAGTTATTAAAAATTAAACAGAAATACCTTATTTACATAAGTATTCAGACCCTTTGCTATCCACCTCTACGCAGACGACACAATTTTGTATACATCTGGCCCTTCATTGGACACTGTGTTAACAAACCTCCAAACGAGCTTCAATGCCATACAACACTCCTTCAGTAGCCTCCAACTGCTCTTAAACACTAGTAAAACTAAATGCATGCTCTTCAATCGAACGCTGCTGGCACACGCCCGCCCGACTAGAATCACCACTCTCGACGGGTCTGACCTAGAGTATGTGGACAACTACAAATACCTAGGTGTCTGGTTAGACTGTAAACTCTCCTTCCAGACTCACATTAAGAATCTCCAATCCAAAGTTAAATCTAGAATCGGCTTCCTATTTCGCAACAAAGCCTCCTTCACTCATGCTGCCAAACATGCCCTCGTAAAACTGACTATCCTACCGATCCTTGACTTCGGCGATGTCATTTACAAAATAGCCTCCAGCACTCTACTCAGCAAATTGGATGTAGTCTATCACAGTGCCATCCGTTTTGTCTCCAAAGCCCCATACACTACCCACCACTGTGACCTGTACGCTCTTGTTGGCTGGTCCTCACTACATGTTCGTCGTCAAACCCACTGGCTCCAGGCCATCTATAAATCACTGCTAGGCAAATCCCCGCCTTATTTACATTTTAGTCATTTAGCAGACGCTCTTATCTTTTTTTATACTGGATCAAACCCACAACCCTGGCGTTGCAAACGCCATGCTCTATCAACTGAGCTACATTAGCTCATTGGTCACCATAGCAGCACCCACCCGTAGTCTGCGCTCCAGCAGGTATATCTCACTGGTCATCCCCAAAGCCAACACCTCCTTTGGCCGCCATTCCTTCCAGTTCTCTGCTGCCAATGACTGGAACTAATTGCAAAAATCTCTGAAGCTGGAGACTCTTATGTCCCTCACTAACTTTAAGCATCAGTTGTCAGAGCACCTTACCGATCACTGCACCTGTACACAGCCCATCTGAAATTAGCCCACCCAACTACCTCATCCCTATATTGTTATTTATTTTGCTCTTTTGCACCCCAGTATCTCTATTTGCACATAATCTCTTGCACATCTAGCATTCCAGTGTTAATACTAATTGTAATTATTTTGCACTATAGCCTATTTATTGCCATACCTCCATAACTTGCTACATTTGCACACACTGTATATATATTTTCTGTTGTATTTTTTGACTTTATGTTTTTTTACCCCATATGTAACTCTGTGTTGTTGTTTTTATCGCACTGCTATGCTTTATCTTGGCCAGGTCGCAGTTGTAAATGAGAACTTGTTCTCAACTGGCTTACCTGGTTAAATAAAGGTGAAATAAAATAAAAAATAAATGAGACTGTAAATTTAGCACAGGTGCATCCTGTTTCCATTGACAACCCTTGAGCTGTTTCTACAACTTGATTGGAGTCCACCTGTGGTAAATTCAATTGATTGGACATGAGGTCTCACAGTTGGCAGTGCATGTCAGAGCAAAAACCAAGCTCTGAGACAGGATTGTGTCGAGGCACAGATGTGAGGAAGGGTACCAAAAAATGTATGCAGCATTGAAGGTCCCCAAGAACACAGTGGCCTCCATCATTCTTAAATGGAAGATTTTTGGAACCACAAAGACTCTTCCTAGAGCTGGCCGCCCGGCCAAACTGAGCAATAGGGGGAGAAGGGCTTTGGTCAGGGAGGTGACCAAGAACCCGATAGTCACTCTGATAGAGCTCTAGAGTTCCTCTGTGGAGATGGGAGAACCTTCCAGAAGGACAACCATCTCTAGAGCACTCCACCAATCAGGCCTTTATGGTAGAGTGGCCAGCATTGTGGTGGCAGAATCATGCTGTGGGGATGTTTTTCAGCAGCAGGGACTGGGAGACTAGTCAGGATCGAGGGAAAGATGAACGGAGCAAAGTACAGAGAGATCCTTGGTGAAAACCTGCTCCAGAGCTCAGACTGGGGCGAAAGTTCACCTTCCAACAGGACAACGACCCTAAGCACACAGCCAAGACAACGCAGGATGGCTTCGGGACAAGTCTCTGAATGTCCTTGAGTGGCCCAGCCAGAGCCCGGACTTAAACCTGATCGAACATCTCTGGAGAGACCTGACAATAGCTGTGCAGCGACGCTCCCCATCCAACCTGACAGAGTATTAGACGATCTGCAGAGAAGAATGGGAGAAACTCCCCAAATACAGGTGTGCCAAGCTTGTAGCGCCATACCCAAGAAGACTCAATCCTGTAATCACTGCCAAAGGTGCTTCAACAAAGTTCTGAGTAAAGGGTCTGAATACTTATTGAAATTTAATATTTCCGTTTTTTTATTTTTTATACATTTGCAAAAATTTCTAACAACCTGTTTGTGCTTTGTCATTATGGGGTATTTTGTGTTGTCCATTTTAGAATAAGGCTGTAACCTAACAAAATGTGGGAAAAGTCAAGGGGTCTGAATAGTTTCCGAATGCACTGTATGTGCATTTCACAGGGCCCTCCTACCTGCATTCCATAGCAGATACCAAGGACAGGCTTTCCAATGGTGAATATGGCAGGGTCAAACCAAGGGGCATCCTCAGCATACACAGAGTTGGGACCACCAGAGATGATGATCGCTCTGGAGAGAGAAAGAGGGAGGAACGAGGGAGGAGAAATATTCAAAGACAAAAGTCAAACAATCAATCAATTTATGTACGGCTCAGTTGGTAGAGCATGGCACTTGCAACGGCAGGGTTGTGGGTTCGATTCCCGGGGCCACACATACGTAAAACTGTATGCACGCATGACTAAGTCGCGTTTGGATAAAAGCATCTGCTAAATGGCATTTAAAATGTAACCATACACAACAACAGAGTAGTCATTTTCAGACTAGTAACTAGTAATCTTGGGAATTATCACACAAGTGTAATTGTTCTGACAGGTTCTCTCTCTCTCACACTCACACCTCCGTATGCATTTTCCTTATTCATTTCGAAACATTTGGTCCAGGTTCGTTGACTTGTAAATGCCACCCAGGTGCAAGTGTGATGTCAGTCAGTCTCACCTGAAGCCTTGTTCTCTGATGGCGAAGGCTGGCGTCTCTAGTGGGAGGATCTCTGAGCGGACAAACAGCTCTCTGATCCGCCTGTCAATCACCTTGCCGTACTGAGCCCCGGCATCCAGGATGACCACCGCCCCCTCACATGAACCATTCTGAGGCTCAACGCTGCTGATGCCCAGCTGGGGGAGGAGGAACACATATCCACACACACTGTCATGACCACGTACGTACATTCAATCAGGATAACAGCATAGCCCTACGTGTGGAATAGCCTTCTACCATGTACACTCATCAAGGGTATCATGGGATGTTTTGAATTAAGATACATTAGTCTATATTCCCACAAGTGGTTGAACCAGGGGGTGTTCAAAAAGCGTTGCAAAACTTTGCAATCATTCAAAGACAGGCAAAACATTTGCGATGGTGAATGGCCGCCACTTCGCCAACCTCACAGGAACGAGATTCATTAAGGCCATAACACAATTTGAGACATGTGAGTCTCAGTACTGAGAAGAGGACACGCGTGACGAGACATTACACACTCATTCAGTCCCTCATGAGGATCACATGAGTCACACAGACGCTAGAGACCTGACCAGGGGCCAGCTAGCAGCTAGAGGCCTGACCAGGGGCCAGCTAGAGACCTGACCAGGGGCCAGCTAGAGGCCTGACCAGAGGCCAGCTAGAGGACTGACCAGGGGCCAGCTAGAGGACTGACCAGGGGCCAGCTAGAGGCCTGACCAGAGGCCTGACCAGGGGCCAGCCAGAGGCCTGACCAGGGGCCAGCTAGAGGTCTGACCAGGGGCCAGCTAGAGGACTGACCAGAGGCCAGCTAGAGGACTGACCAGGGGCCAGCTAGAGGCCTGACCAGGGGCCAGCTAGAGGCCTGACAAGGCTCCAGCTAGAGGACTGACCAGGTCCAGTAGGGGCCAGCTAGAGGAAACCGTATAGTCAAGTAGTGAATGCCAAACTTGGAGGTTTTAACCAACCTTTTTAGATTTCTAGTGACCCTATAGATGTTTCTAGCCAGGATTCACAAACCAGTGGACATCACTTCAGAATAGATATATCTAATCAAGTTTTTTTTGCAGTTAAATGTATATGCCTGCCCTTATGCATGATTGTCTTCGCGTCATTATGTCTTAATCATTATGTTTACAAGCTTAATATTCCTATCTAAACTGTACATTTCTCATGCATTACATTGGGGCACTAGATATGGGCAAAACATTAAACGCACCACTCAAGTAAATTGTGAAATAGAGCAGCTTGTCCCCACGTGGTTTCTGACACTCCGTACTTCCGTCAATGAAAAACAGGCATACGCTCCTGTATCAACCACACGGCAAGTGACACCATAAAAGCCCTAAAACTGCGAACAACGCATTGCATATGAAACCACGTCGATGCCGAATGTTGAGTTGTCATACTGGGCCTGTTTTCCTGGGGAAAGTAAAATGGAGTACTTGTGGATATGAAAATAATACGATGGTCGGCCTATTCTGCAGCTGGCACAACTGTGGTGGGTGGACAGACTGGACTCTGGAGACCGGGCGCTAGCTAGCTAACTAACTAACAAGTCATAGTTAGCCATCTAGCTGACAACCCGATTGTTTCTGTTAAATTACCAAATAAATGTACATACTCGTTGTAACACGAAATCTCGAACTGTTGCTACAAAAGGTTAAATATTATATGAAGTCCACTGCACTACTGCGAGCTATTATGCTAGTGGGCTATCCCTAACGTTGCAGTTAGCTAACTAGCTACATATCCAGCTGTGCGGCCGCAGATAGCTAGGCTAAATTCCACGCGGCTTCTGCTAGCTGACTAGCTAGCAATGTGTACACAATGAAAGATGCAACAGTGGCATAAAAGTTACATTCACTGTATGCTGGATGTTTATAAAACCCTCAGAAACACACGTTTTAAAGACGAGGCAACAGGCATGAAGACAGGCATCCCCGGCGGGGGGAGCACTCACGCCGCAAGTTTGCTGAAGACACGACACAGGCCGTAGTTAACCGGGGACTCCCAGCGCCCATGTACCGCAGCCGACACATTGAACAAGAAACCGGCTATGTTGCTACCTTGGCGGCACTTAAGCCGTTGTTTGACTGACCTTGGTATCTCCGTTGCACAGAGCCATGGATGACTTTATCGGAATGAGCTCTCCTCCTCGGTCTTCCAGATCTCGTACGCAACAGAGAGATGTTCGCGGAGTTGGTGCGCCGACCGCTGACTACAATGTGCGCTAACTAGCCCTGCTCTGCTACAATACTCACTGGATGGCTGTCCCCTCCCCTCTCAGAGAGTAGTGCGTACTTGTGACTGTCTGCGTGGGAATTTGGCCTTCTAGGGACGAATTAGTCCTGGATAATTCAATGAAAAAGTTTATTATGGAAAAGCTTGAGCAGTTTACAAGCGGAAGAATTTGCCCTACGTCTAATTGTCTATATCACGTGAATAATTTAGATAGTCTATGTAATTGCTAGCGGACTAAACTCCACTCCATGATGAAATAACTTTCTGATGAACTCCTTCACCATGGAGAGGAGATTAGTCCGCTATGTAATTGAAGGATTTGTGTTATCCTAGGGTACTAGGCCTAAATCATAATCGGGGCACCCCATAACGCCCCTCCCCCTTGCCATGATGTTGACCAGACAGAAATAGCACCTCTGTGTTCCTCCTGGGCCCCAACAGCTCAGCACCTTCATATAGCAGCCGTAGCATCTACCTGTAACCTGCGAAGCCAGAAAAAACAGTCATTGGGAGACTAGTGTGACGAGATAAGGGGGCACATAACTGTGTCAATTTATCAAAGACACAAAGGAGAGAACCCCCCCTAATGTGGTGTAAAGCCATTTAGGGTGAAAAATAACAGCCACTCTCTATTGCAATAAATGACTTAAAGAAATAGAAAGAGATCAATTATCTTTGTGTATAGGTTTTAGTTGTATGGATAGATTTTATAGGCTACTGCTCTCCTTTAGTCCATGGGGTAATGTGTGGCAGACGGGGAGAATCAGATCCAGCCTCTAAGGGGCCTCTTTGGTTTCAGGTGAGCGCTGTGTGCTAGCTGTCCCCCTCTTTTTCTCTCCTACCAGTTAGTGGAGGGGGTAATTTTGGATCCCTCTGTGGGTGAAGTGTAACAGGAGCTATGAAGGGAAATCCAGACACCGGTATGTCCTGATCATGGATTCAACTTCAACTCGAGGAAACAGAGTGTTTGCACACTCACTGCATGTAAACATGGTACACTGCATCTAAGGGACAAATATGAAGAGGGGTCTTCTGACTTTCTGAAAGGGACTATTTAGGAAGGTTCCCAGCTGTTGGAGTGGATGTAGGATGGATGAGTGAACCTCTGTTCAGGCTCTGTGCTGTGTACCTTCAGTTATAAGTTATGAAAAACCTGAGGAGGGCATCTCACAGCTCAATTGGTAGAGCATGGCGCTTGTAACGCCGTGCTGTGCTGCAGGATCGTGTTTCACCCTTTCAGTTTCATGCGGAACATACTGGTTTGTTCACCTGGGATTCTTATTTTTATTTTTTTAAAGTTAATCATATTTGTAAAATAATAAAGAAAGCTGCTGGATGTATAATTTGATATGACTCGTGGTTGGATGGATGTAGTTATCGGGATGGTTTCTTTCTGACTACATCGCTCCCATGTATCAAATGCTGAGTGAGTGAAAGGGTCCTTGAGGGGGGAAATTATCCATTCTAAATGGCAAATTGTCAGAAAAATTATGTTGCAATGAGTACCACTAGATCAGGGCAAGATGGGGAAATCACTCATGAGATTACCATCTGCAGGAGAAGAACATGAACAAAGTAATTATTATGTAGTTATAATATGTAATAGAAAGGAAATACCCATACAGTAGACTGTAAAATCATGTTTTAGGTCTAGCAATCCACCCCAAACCCTCACCCCCCCCCCCCCCCCCCCCTTTTTTTTTTTATTTGAAACAGTGACTTCTTGTGTGTGGCGTTAGCTAACACAGTGTCACATGGTTTACTCTAGTTGGCCTGGTCTGGTCACATGACATTAACCAGTTTCACATGGCCCTCATAGCTGTGGCAGAGAGTCATTCATTACCTTAGACACAGAATGGAGACACCCTGGTTGACACGACGGATGCATTACATAGCATTTACTTATGTTACTATTAGAGGGGGCTGCTCACAATATACCTCTTGTTTAGTTTGGGTGAGTCGGTAAGAGCAGGGTGATGTGGGCCAAAGGAGTATCAGTTACTCCTCAAAAGTCTGTTTAAGAAAACGAGTGTGTCCCCCCCCCCCCCCCCCCCCCCCCCCCCCCAACTGAACACCTCTCCTTGACATTGCCACTCTTAGCATAAAAAGATAAGTAAAAGATACATTCACAAACTGACAAATTATATACAATTTTAAAAATGTCCTGCATGAATTAAACTGGGCCCTCTATGCAATGAAACTGTTTCCAACAATCAATGGAGTGTAGAGGTTTGTTCTGAGGAATACTGTATTAATATACCATGGAATATAGGCTCCATATTGTGAGAGAAATCAGCACCAGGTTAAAGGAAAGGCTTTTCAACAGCCACCCACACACAGACACTGGTCATTCTAATCCTCTACCAACCTTGCCCTGTCTATGGAAAAGTGATACATACTGGTAAAAGGGCCCAACATCTGCTGTGGATAATATTTCACTTGGTTAATTATCACAGTATGAGAGACACCGGAGGAAAAACATACAGTATCTGGGGGTAAGAGGATCCTACAGCGTCAGTGGATGTCCGGAGTATCTTGGGAAACTGTAGTTACACAAAATGACCAGTAGAGGAAGCAACTCAGTCAATTTTGAAAGGTACTCTTCGGTCTAGAACAGTATTATTCAACGCGAACAGTGCCTTGGAACAAGACTCACCTGAAATGTCACATTTCTAAGCAAATTGGGGAAAACAGTGACTAGATTATTTTTTGTAGAAATATCAAGCAGTAGGCCTATAAGTATTAGCTGTAAACCAGCTGAGAGCAACAAGTAAGTACCTTTTCCAATTTTTTAAATAATAATCAACTACTGTACGATATTGTGTGTTGGAAGTACATAATTTTTATCCTGTCAAAGGATCAGTGCGCCTACCTGTTACTTATCTTGTGAGATCAATGGAACATGGAGATGTGATGAAATCCTTAACGAGATATTACCATGTGTCTCAGAGGACATGGGCTCCAGGGCCCACTGTTGCCTTATGCTGCTATAAATAATGGTTCATAATGAGACTCATATTACATGAAGTAAAAGGCATAAACACTGTGTGTTTTTGTTTTTGTCAGTCCATTGTTGATATGTTGTTGATAAGATGATCTAAGAATGCACAGATCACTTGACTTATTAGGCAACTTGGCTTGCTCTACTTTAGTGCTGCTCTTAATGTTGATCATCACTAGTAAGCCTGATGTTGATCACTAGTAGGCCTGATGGTGATCACTAGTAAGCCTGATGTTGATCACTAGTAAGCCTGATGTTGATCACTAGTAGGCCTGATGGTGATCACTAGTAAGCCTGATGTTGATCACTAGGAGGCCTGATGGTTATCACTAGGAGGCCTGATGTTGATCACTAGTAAGCCTGATGTTGATCACTAGTAGGCCTGATGTTGATCACTAGTAAGCCTGATGTTGATCACTAGGAGGCCTGATGGTTATCACTAGGAGGCCTGATGGTGATCACTAGTAAGCCTGATGTTGATCACTAGGAGGCCTGATGTTGATCACTAGTAAGCCTGATGTTGATCACTAGGAGGCCTGATGTTGATCACTAGTAAGCCTGATGTTGATCACTAGTAAGCCTGATGTTGATCACTAGTAAGCCTGATGTTGATCACTAGTAAGCATGATGTTGATCACTAGGAGGCCTGATGGTTATCACTAGGAGGCCTGATGTTGATCACTAGTAAGCCTGATGTTGATCACTAGGAGGCCTGATGGTTATCACTAGGAGGCCTGATGGTGATCACTAGTAAACCTGATGTTGATCACTAGTAAGCCTGATGTTGATCACTAGTAAGCCTGATGTTGATCACTAGTAAGCCTGATGTTGATCACTAGGAGGCCTGATGGTTATCACTAGGAGGCCTGATGGTGATCACTAGTAAGCCTGATGTTGATCACTAGGAGGCCTGATGGTTATCACTAGGAGGCCTGATGTTGATCACTAGTAAGCCTGATATTGATCACTAGGAGGCCTGATGTTGATCACTAGTAGGCCTGATGTTGATCACTAGTAAGCCTGATGTTGATCACTAGTAGGCCTGATGTTGATCACTAGGAGGCCTGATGGTTATCACTAGGAGGCCTGATGGTGATCACTAGTAAGCCTGATGTTGATCACTAGGAGGCCTGATGGTTATCACTAGGAGGCCTGATGGTGATCACTAGTAAGCCTGATGTTGATCACTAGGAGGCCTGATGTTGATCACTAGTAAGCCTGATGTTGATCACTAGTAAATCTGATATTGATCACTAGGAGGCCTGATATTGATCACTAGTAAACCTAGGAGGTGTTATGGTGTGGTTGTGCCACGAATGCCAAGAGTGTGCAAAGCTGTCAACAAGGCAAAGAGTGGCTACTTTTTATTATTATTATTATTACTTTTTGAAGAATCTAAAATCTAAAATATATTTTGATTTGTTTAACACTTTTTGGTTACTACATGATTCCATATGTGTTATTTCATAGTTTTGATGTCTTCACTATTACTCTAAAATGTAGAAAATAGTAAAAATAAAGAAAAACCCTGGAATGAGTAGGTCTGTCCAAACTTTTGACTGGTATTGTATATATACAAATATAAATATATATGGGGGATTGGAAATTATGCAGATAATTACATTATAGAAGCCACAATCTATCTGCAATATTAAAGCTGATCTACCCCCTAAAAAAAAGATTTACAAAATAAAATAAAGAACTGTTTGTCATTGTCATCCATGTGGATTTTATATTTTCAATGTTTGTGTGTGTGTGTGTGTGTGTGTGTGTGTGTGTGTGTGTGTGTGTGTGTGTGTGTGTGTGTGTGTGTGTGTGTGTTTGTGTGTGTGTGTGTTTGTGTGTGTGTGTGTGTGTGTGTGTGTTTGTGACTTGTTGTACATGGCAGCTCAAGAAGTGAAAGGAATGAGTGTGGTCACTTGCACAGTGCCTTATAAATCCATGGCCCTCTAATTATTAGTCACAATCTATTACAAAAATTAGCTATGTAATGTGTAACAAATAGTTAAAAGAGATGAGCTATTATATATACATATATATATATATATATACATATATATATTATTATTGTTATTATTATTATTATTATTATTATTATTATTATTATTATTAACGTTTGCAACTGCAGTGAGTGACAATAGGGCATATGGAACCACATGAACGGAATAAAAATGTGTATGCAGATCCAAGCGGAACAGAAAGTACAATAATTTTGACACGTCACTTGAAGCACTCGGACACATTTCGACGTTACACAAAGACACTTCCTGGTCCAATGCTAAACAATTTACCAATGTTAGCGGGTGAAGGCTAAATAGGTAGCTATTTCTGTTTTTTTTACCTTATTAAATGCAATTCATACATAGTGCAAGGCAACGTTTGCTGTCTAATTCACTACAATCCATTGTTTCAATGGAGATAGACATTCATTCATTCATTAATCATTCATTATTTGGTTTCGTCATGTGGCGTCGCATGTCACAAGGGAACGGTAACGTTAACGTTATGATAGCTAGCTAACATGCTTATCTTGTCATATCTCATCAATCATCTGTTTGAGCTCCAATTACCTTTTTAACCAATATTTATTGAATTCACATTGCCTTTTTGTTCGCCGATGTTTTGTGACTTCCTATTCTGTGACTTTGTTATTCTGATCCAGATAGTAACGTTACTGTTAGTTAGCCAACACGTTTGCTTTGCTGTCTCATGCCAGTGCGGCTTCATCATGTATTCTAGCAATCTGAATAATATTCTGCTGTGTTGATAATATAAGATTTCCTTAGTTGATATATATATATTTTAAACCTGTCGATGTGTCATGGCACTGCGTTGTTTTGATTCCCACCTACGTCATCAGTTTCCTGGTGCCTGCTTGGGCTGAGTCAACTAGTAACTAACTGAGGGGGTGTTTGACAGTACAGCTGAACATGCTTTGTCACGATGATTATTCAACATTTATGCGTTCTCTCTCCCATTTGTCTGGATTAAGACGTCTAGCTAGCAACCTTGTTTATGCAGAAGCTGACCACTTTTGATGATAGGCACTAGCTGGTGTTGCTAGGACCTCATCCAGGACAAAAAGAGAATCTCAGAAAGGTGTCAACAATGGACATTCTTGAAGGGAGGTCTCGCTGCCTAGAGTAACCCATCTGAAAACACAAAAATGTGAGGGGTAGAACACTGCAGATATTTTCCTACTACAAATTGACTAAACCCTGCCTGCTTCCTTCCTCTCCAGGTTTCCAGAGGGTACAGCTGGTTTGATGCCCGCAGCTCCACAATGGAGCTCTCTGACTCAGTCACACATAAGAACGGGCGGCAGAGGAAGCCCGCTGTCCCCCAGGGGGACATGAGGGACGGGGACAGGGTTTGCAACACTACCCCTGACATGGACATGGAGGTGGAGGGGGAGGTGCTGCACCAAGGATACGACGCAGAGGACAACGGACATCCCAGGGTGAAGCCTGGGATCAGAGGGGAGCTGGGGAACGTGTCTCTGCTGCTCTTCCTTTATGTCCTCCAGGGCATCCCTCTGGGCCTAGCTGGGAGCATCCCTCTCATCCTGCAGGGGAAGAACGTCAGCTACAAGGACCAGGCCTTCTTCAGCTTTGTCTTCTGGCCCTTCAGTCTCAAGCTGCTTTGGGCCCCTCTGGTCGATGCGCTCTACCTGACCCGGTTTGGACGCAGGTAAGACAATGATTTATAAGACCGATATACACTGAGTAGTCCCCGACTAAAACAAATCTTGGTCGACCGAGAGTCGTCCTGTTCTTTTGACCAATCGATTGGTTGAAATGTTTAAACATATTTTTCCATATATAGACACACACCCTATGTGTTTGAATAAAATCAACGACATATGTCTGATGCTTTAAGCACACTGTTTGATTAAATAATTAAGACACACAAATTACTCAAGTAAGAGCCCGATGGTCACACTGTGTTAAAAAAATGACAGCGAGTGCCTGTGTGACTCAAATTTGGACTCAACAGACCAAAGGACAGATTTCCACCGGTCTAATGTCCATTGCTCGTGTTTCTTGGCCCAAGCAAGTCTCATCTTCTTATTGGTGTCCTTTAGTAGTGGTTTCTTTGCAGCAATTCGACCGTGAAGGCCCGATTCACGCAGTCTCCTCTGAACAGTTGATGTTGAGATTTCTCTTTGCTTATTTGAGCTGTTCTTGCCATAATATGGACTTGGTCTTTTACCAAATAGGGCTATCTTCTGTATACCACCCCTACCTTGTCACAACACAACTGATTGGCTAAAACGCATTAAGAAGGAAATAAATTCCACAAATTAACCTCTTAAGGATCTGACCTTTCTTTTTCAATTTTTGCCCAAAATGACATACCCAAATCTAACTGCCTGTAGCTCAGGACCTGAAGCAAGGATATGCATATTCTTGATACCATTTGAAAGGAAACACTTTGAAGTTTGAGGAAATGTGAAATTAATGTAGGAGAATATAACACATTAGATCTGGTGAAAGATAATACAAACATAAAAACATGCGTTTTCAATTTCTTTATTCGATTTTGGCCACTAGATGGCAGCAGTGTGCATGCAACATTTCAGATTGATCCAGTGAAGCATCGCAATACTGGACTATTTTGTATCAAGTCTGCCCAAATGTGCCGAATTGGTCAATTGATACATTTTCAAGTACATAACTATAGAGAACATACATTTTGAATTACCATATCATTTTTGTAAGTTTACACACTCCCAGGAATGTCATACATGATGGATAATTCGCTTATACGCTGATTTTCACACATCTAGATGGCCGGGCGGGGTGGGTGTGGAGCCAGAGACAGCAGGGGTTCAAACTGTAGAACCCAGTTCCTACATTTGAATATAAAAATGGATTTTATAAAACAAAACTATGCTACATTTTATCTCTGGGACCCTTAGGATGACAAATCAGAGCAAGATTACTGAATGTAAGTACATTATTTACCTTCAGAGGTGAATGTATCAAACCAGTTGCCGTGATACGTTTTTTGTTGTTGTGCACTCTCCTCAAACAATAGCATGGTATTTTTTCACTGTAATACTTATTGTAAATTGGACAGTGCAGTTAGATTAACAAGAATTTAAGCTTTCTGCCCATATTAGACATGTCTATGTCCTGGAGATTTTGTTGTTACTTACAAAAATCATGCTAATCACATTAGCGCACGTTAGCTCAACTGTCCCGTATACGGGACACCGATTCCGTAGAGGTTAACAAGGCACACCTGTTAATTGAAATGCATTCCAGGTGACTACCTCATGAAGCTGGTTGAGAGAATGCCAAGAGTATGCAATGCTGTTATCAAGGCAAAGGGTGGCTACTTTGAAGAATGTCAAATATATAAAATATTTTGATTTGTTTACTACATGATTCCAAATGTGTTATTTCATGGTTTTGATGTCTTCACTATTATTCTACAATGTAGAAAATAGTACAAATAAAGAAAATGAGTAGGTGTGTCCAAACTTTTGACTGGTACTCTATATGGATGATGTATAAAGCCAGGCACATTTAACAGTTAGGCTATTAATTATAGACCTAATTAAGTTGGGGTTTTCTCTCTCAATTGTCTTAGACAATTAGGCTAAGGCAAGGGCTGTTTCCTCATCTCTGCTGCTGCTGCCTCCGCCACATTGTTCTCAATCCCAATACGCTGGTTAACTTTGCTATTATGCACATAGCAACATAGGGAAAGGTGCCAATTCTGCAGCGCACTGAAGATTATGTTTCAGAACAGCGGACAGCGACCGTATCCAACGCGGGAGAAAGAGCAAATGTTCTAAAAATAATATTAGATTTATTAGTGTTGCACAATTATTTTTACATAATATAACCATATACAATTTCAGTATCATGTCTTAGAGTGATGGACTGTGCCGTCCCTGTGGCCTCCACAATGGATCAGTCCACTGAGACATGCGTGAATCAGACAGGTGACTTGTGCGTCATGAAACATTTTTTGGGGGGCGACTGCTGGACTAAAGAAATCTGGGTCAACCAACAGCCTATCGACCAAACAATCAACCAGTCAACTAAATGGGGTCAGCCCTAACACTGAGTTTACCAAACATTAGGAATACCTTCCTAATATTTAAGTTGCACCCCCCATTTTGCCTTCAGAACAGCCTTAATTTGTCGGGGCATGGACTCTACAAGGTATCAAAAGTGTTCCACAAGGATGTTGGCCTATGTTGACTCCAATGCTTCCCACAGTTGAGTCAAGTTGGCTGGATGTCCTTTGGGTGGTGGACCATTCTTGATACACACAGGTAACTGTTGAGCATGAAAAACCCAGTAGCGGTGTAGTTCTTGACACAAACCGATGCGCCTTGCACCTACTACCATACCCCGTTCAAAGGCACTTAAATCTTTTGTCTTGCCCATTCACCCTCTGAATGGCGCACATACACAATCCATGTCTCAATTGTCTCTAGGCTTAAAAATCCATCTTTAACCCGTCTCCTCCCCTTCATCTACACTGATTGAAGTGGATTTAACAAGTGACATCAATAAGTTATCGTAGCTTTCACCTGGATTTACCTGGTCAGTCTGTCATGGAAAGAGCAGGTGTTCTTAATGTTTTGTATACTCAGTGTATGTTTACTTGATGAATTGTATTGTGTCTGTGTTGACTGTTGCAATCAAATGAGTCAAAGCCTTGTGATCTCCTCTCTGCCTCTCAGGAAGTCGTGGCTGGTGCCCACCCAGTACCTGCTGGGTCTCTTCATGCTGTACCTGTCGGTTACCGTGGATACGCTGCTGGAAAGTGATGAGGGGCGGGGCCCAGACGTGGTGACCCTGACGGTGGTGTTCTTCATGCTGGCCTTTCTGGCAGCTACCCAGGTACACACACACACACACACTCACTCACTCACTCACTCACTCACTCACTCACTCACTCACTCACTCACTCACTCACTCACTCCAAGTTATTGTGATACATGACTGTTATTTCCCCATCCCTGATCCCAGGACATAGCAGTGGATGGCTGGGCTCTGACCATGCTGTCTCGGGAGAACGTGGGCTACGCCTCCACCTGTAACTCTGTGGGACAGACTGCTGGCTATTTCCTAGGCAACGTGCTCTTCCTGGCTCTGGAGTCAGCGGACTTCTGCAACAAATACCTGAGAGCACAGCCTAAAGAGACTGGCATCGTTACACTGTCAGGTATGGAGGGAGGGAGGGAGGGAGAGAGAGACTGGCATCGTGACACTGTCAGGTATGGAGGGAGGGAGGGAGGGAGGGAGAGACTGGCATCGTTACACTGTCAGGTATGGAGGGAGGGAGAGAGAGAGACTGGCATCGTGACACTGTCAGCTACGAGGGAGAGAGAGAGAGAGAATGGGATTGTTACACTGTCAGGAAGGGAGGGAGGGAGGTAAAAAAAATATGAGAAAGCAGAGAATAAGGTAATCTATGAAGCGGGAGAAGGTAATATATGAAGCAGGAAGGTCATCTATGAAGTGAGAAGGTCATCTATGAAGCGGGAAGAAGGAAGGTCATCTATGAAGCAGGAAGAAGGTAATCTATGAAGCGGGAAGAAGGTAATCTATGAAGCAGGAAGAAGGTCATATATGAAGCGGGAAGAAGGAAGGTCATCTATGAAGCGGGAAGAAGGAAGGTCATCTATGAAGTGGGAAGAAGGAAGAAGGTAATCTATGAAGCGGGAATAAGGTCATCTATGAAGCGGGAAGAAGGTCATATGCGAAGCAGGAAGAAGGTCATATATGAAGCGGGAAGAAGGTCATATATGAAGCGGGAAGAAGGTCATATATGAAGCAGGGAGACGGTCATATATGAAGCGGGAAGAAGGTCATGCATGAAGCGGGAAGAAGGTCATATATGAAGCGGAGAGAAGGTCATATGTGAAGCGGGAATAATGTAATATGTGAAGCGGGAGAATATCATCTATGAAGCGGGAAGAAGGAAGAAGGTCATCTATGAAGCGAGAAGAAGGTCACATATGAAGCGGGAAGAAGGAAGGTCATATATGAAGCAGGAAGAAGGTCATGTATGAAGCGGAGAGAAGGTCGTATGTGAAGCGGGAATAATGTAATATGTGAAGCGGGGAGAAAATCATATATGAAGCGGGGAGAAGGAAGAAGGTCATATATGAAGCGAGAAGGTCATATATGAAGCGGAAGAAGGTCGTATATGAAGCGGGAAGAAGGTCATGTATGAAGCGGAGAGAAGGTCATCTGTGAAGCGGGAATAATGTAATCTGTGAAGCGGGGAGAATATCATCTATGAAGCGGGAAGAATGTAATGTATGAAGCGGGAAGAAGGTCATATATGAAGCGGGAAGAAGGTCATATATGAAGCGGGAAGAAGGTCATACATGAAGCAGGAAGAAGGTCATATATGAAGCAGGAAGAAGGTCATCTATGAAGCAGGAAGAAGAGCGGTAATCCAGATATATAGTTTAATCTTGCTACAGTCAGCTGTATTAAGTACAATTACAGACATGCAAAGCTCAATGAACCCGTCCCTGCTGAAGAGGGAATGTCCGTTGGCCAGGTTTTGCATTTGTTCCTCTTGCCCTGAGTGAACAATGGGTGCTAAAGACGATGGTATAAGAATTGTAGAACAATTAGTGATTTTTGTTCCCTTGTAACCTCTTGATTTCCATATAATGCTATAATCAACGTTCACTTTGTCCTGGCAGTCTGAACCTTGCTAAGGTGTACCAGGCGTGCATTTTCTTCCATTTTAGAACATTGATACAGTGGCAATTACTTTAGGCCCAACAACTTTTTATTATCTGGGGAAATGTTTGTGGCAGTGTCACCTAGTGGGCAATTTTGGGGGAATCCTCCAATCATAGTGCAGATATTGGTCATGTGATCAATTTTGGCGGTTTTTGAGCTGAAGTGAGAGAAAATAAACTGGTTTTGGAGTGAACTTTTGGCTGATGATTTCCAGTACAGCTGTGGCAATCAACAGACTGTGCCTTGCTATAGAAGATGGGTGAATTAACCTTGATTGTCATATCCCATTGCCCTGCTGTTGTAATCACTCGGTAACGTTGTCGTTGTCTGTGATTGGCTCCCGTGGTGCAGAATTCCTGTTTTTCTGGGGCGTGGTGTTCCTGGTGTCGACCACGCTGGTGGCCATTATGAAGAAGGAGAACGCCAGGGGACAGCATGGGAAGAGGAAGGTCCGGGAGGAGACGCAGAGCGTCATGGAAACATACAAGCTGCTGGTCTCCATCATCAAGATGCCTGCCGTGTTCACCTTCTGTAGCCTGCTGCTCACGGCTAAGGTACCTGCGATACAGCTTACTACACACGTCACCCAGTCAGGTTAAAGGGATACGTCGGGATTTTGGCAACGAGGCCCTTTATCTACTTCCCCAGAGTCAGATGAACTTGTGGATAAAATGTTTATGTAGCATGCTAGCAGATACCATAGACTTCCAGTCATTGCACTAACGCTAGTTAGCATTGGCTCGTGAAACTACCTCTTAACTTCCTTCATACTGGACACAGAGACATAAAAATGGTATCCACGAGTTCATCTGGCTCTGGGGGCGTAGATAAAGGGCCCTCGTTGCCAACATCCCGAAGTATCCCTTTAAGGACCGACCCACTGTGTTCACCCTCTGCTGGCCACTGCTAAGGTATATCTACAACTTCTCTGCATGCCAGTGCTGAATGTAACCCAGTCAGGTTACTGGCCCACCGACTGTAGTCACCCTGTGTAGCCTACCACTAACTTCCGAGGTGTCTACATCTTAACCAACCTGCATTGGACAATTAGCCTAGCTCACCTGCTGTATCTAACCCAGTCACTGTAAAGGACTTAGCGGTCTGTCTGTCTGTGTGTCTCCAGATGGGCTTCTCTGCGGCAGACGCAGTGACGGGTCTGAAGCTGGTGGAGGCAGGTGTTCCCAAAGAGCAGCTGGCGTTACTGGCAGTCCCAATGGTTCCACTTCAGATACTACTACCACTCATCATCAGTAAATACACTGCAGGACCACGACCACTAGACGTCTTCTACAAGGCCTTTCCCTTCAGGTATGCACACACACGCACTCGCGCGCGCACACACACACACACACTTTTCCCATACATTTGTGTTTCCGTGTGTAGGTTGTTGATAGGTCTGGAGTATGCCCTGCTGGTGTGGTGGACTCCCAGTTTAAAGCAGGATGGGGGGGGATTCCCTCTCTACTACTATGCTATAGTACTGTTCAGCTACGCACTGCATCAGGTAACACTACTCACACCATCTCATCTCTGTTGTCTCTCTATTACCCTTTCTCTATCTCTCTCTCTATTCTCTCCTCCTCTTTCTTCTCTTATCTCCCCACTCCTTTCTTGCTCTCTTGCTCTACATTCTCTCTCTGTCTCTGCTTCTCTCTGATCTATCTAACCTAAAATGCTTTTGATTCTCTGCTCTCTCTACAAACCTCCACTGGCTCTCGTTTCCTTGACTCTCTTTCTCTGCTCTCTCTCTACATAAAAAACCTCCCTTTCTCTGCTCTCTCCTTTCTTCGCTGCTCTATTCCTCTCTCTCACTACAACTCCCTGTCTTCTCGCTCTCTCTCACTCCCTTCTCTCTCTCTCTTCTCTTCTCTCCTACACCTCCCTTTCTCTGCTCTCTCCCTTTCTCTGCTCTCTCTCTCTCTCTCTCTACACCTCCCTTTCTCTGCTCTCTCCCTTTCTCTGCTCTCTACTCTCTGCTCTCTCCTCTCTCTCTCTCTCTCTCTCTCTACACCTCCCTTTCTTGCTCTCCTCCTTCTCTGCTCTCTACCTCCTGCCTCTCTCTCCTCTCTCTCTCTCTACTCTCTACACCTCCCTTTCTCTGCTCCTCTTCTCTTTCTCTCTCTCTCTTACCTCTACACCTCCCTTTCTCTGCTCTCTCCCTTTCTCTGCTCTCTCTCTCTCTCTCCTAACTCCCTTTCTCTGCTCTCTCTCTGCTTCTTCTTCTCTCTCCCTACACCTCCCTTTCTCTGCTCTCTCTCTGACTTTCTCTCACCTACACCTCCCTTTCTCTGCTCTCTCTCTCTCTGCTCTCTCTCCCTACACCTCCCTTTTCTTCTGCTCTCTCTGTCTCTCTCTCTACTACACCTCTTTCTCTCTCTCATCCCTTTCTCTACTCTCTCTCTCTCCCTTTCTATTGCTCTATCTCTGCTCTATCTCTCCTACACCTCCCTTTCTACTGCTCCTCCTTCTTTGCTCTACTATATGCTCTCTCTCTTATCCCTACAACCTCCCTTTTATCTGCTCTTCTTGATCTTCTATCCCTAAAACCTCCATTTCTCTGCAGTATACCTTTCTCTGCTCTCTACTCTCTTGATCTCTCTCATCCCTACACCCTCCCCTTTCTCTGCTCTCTACTCTCTATGCTCCTCTCTCCCACACTCCCTTTCTCTGCTCTCTACTCTCTGCTCTCTCTCTCCCTACACCTCCCTTTCTCTGCTCTCTACTCTCTGCTCTCTCTCTCCCTACACCTCCCTTTCTCTGCTCTTCAATGTGAAATAAGGCCACTATATAACCACTTGATCCACACACTTACATTTTTTTCTCAAACTCCTGCTTTTCCCCTCCTTACCCAAAGGTGGCGCTGTACAGCATGTATGTGGCCTGTATGGCTTTCCATGCTAAAGTGAGTGACCCAATGATCGGTGGGACCTACATGACCCTGCTGAACACAGTCACCAACCTAGGGGGCAATTGGCCCTCCACCCTGGCACTGTGGATGGTCGACCCACTCACCTCTAAGGAGTGCCAGGGAGCTGCTGGGCAGAGCTGTGGCTCCCCAGAGGAGGCAGGGGTAAGTGGGAGAGAGAATTACCAGACAGTTATCTCAATTGTAATGTCGTAGTACATTGAATAGCTATGATGTGAATTTTGTGGAAACACTTCTCTTAAACGTGTCTCTTTCTGTCTCCCTCGCCTCCCCCCTCAGCTGTGTGTTAAGGAGGGCGGTCTGTGTGTGACGTCGTTGGATGGTTACTATGTGGAGTCGGTGGTGTGTGTGGTGATAGGACTAGCGTGGTGGGTGTGGCTAGGGAAGAGGATGAGAAGGCTACAGGACCAGAGCCCTGCAGCGTGGCGGTGCAGGATCGGCCAATGACAACGTTCACCCGGCTCTTGACCTGCACAACCCCTTTCTCACCCCAGCAAGGCCGATCGCCAGACAGCTACAGTTTGATATAAAAGCTTCCTCTTATCTGTTCCTCTTGCTCACTTTCTGTTGGTCTTCCTATGTCCCTCTCTCTGCCTCTCTGTTCGTCTCAGTCCCTCTCTCTCCCCCCTTCTCCCTTTTTCATCTCCCCTCCTTTCCTCCCTTCTCCCCTCCTTTCCTCCCTTCTCCCTCCTTTCCTCCCTTCTCCCCTCCTTTCCCTCCCTTCTCCCCACCCTTCTCTGCCTCTGCTCAGTGTATATATCCTCCTTCAGCACTTTTTCTTTCTTTAACATAACTGTAGCTGTGGTCCGGCCCCCCACAAGACTTATGGACCATAACAACAGTCAATTCCTCCCTGCAACATCACATCTTCACCAGGACTTCTGTCGCTGCCGCTTCAAATATGTCCCATTGGAAACAAAAAAGAAGGAACTATTCTTCTTGCTAGGAACATTTACTCCAGGAAGTAGCTTCTCCTCTTCTCATTCCACATTCTCTGTATCTTCAACTATTTAACTAGACATGTCACTTGTATTATGTGTGCCTTGCTCTGTTCTTCAGACTCTGATTTTATAAAGTTGTTGTCTGATATTTGAAAAGGCTTTCATCAATGGTCATAAAAAGCAAAGTACATTTAAATATGGATGATTAAATATGAACTTCTGAGATGTAGTCCAAGGCCTGGTTGATAAATAGGTCAAATTTGTCTGTAACATGGAGTCAGAAATCATATCTGTATTATTGATTGTAATCCATAGCCCCTTCGACAGAAACGCCTAAACTATAACAGTACTGATTAAAATATATCTGTAATTTTCAGAATACAACAGTATTTTCTCTAAACCAGCAATGAGAGTTCAGCGGTTGTGTGAAAGGGAGAAGGCAGCAAACAGTCAGGTCTGGATCTGGGATCACCTATAATGGTTCTGTTTGTATTGATATAAATAATTTTGTATTTGTTGAAATTCAAGTAATTTGTGTTTTGTTTTGGGTCTCTCTGCTGTATTCCACATCAGGCTGCACAAAAGCATTTGCATTGATCCACGTGTGGTAAGCCTGATCATTCAGATTCCGTGTTTCTCCCTTAATTTCTGTCCCTAACCGCTGATCCAAGTTCAGATGTGGCTCAGCTCCTAAAGGTGAAAGTCAGGGTTGGGGTATAATGAGGTGATCCTAAAATCAAGTGTTTCTCTTTTGTGGGGGGGGGGGGGGAAAGCACGCACTGAGTTTCCACACCAATGCAAAGCCTTCATACTGTATCTGAAACTTTTGTTAGCCTTGAACATATTTTTTTAACTTTCTGTTTATTCTACAACTTGTGATAGTGATGCTGCTGTATGTACATGGCATTTTTATGTCTTATGTGCCAGTACTTTTACAGTTATTTTAATATTACCAATACAAGTCTACCAGCATTCACTTACATATGGATATGTTTGTATATTTATGATTTGTTTGATTTGCCAAATATTTAAATGAAATGAATGTTAATTTTGTGGTTATTTTTAGGACTTTTTTTTTTCATGTCGGTTTGGCTTAATTTCAGCTTGTACATTATTTTCCAAGATTACTACAGTGGAGTTTTTTTTTTTTTTTTTAAGAATGTTCAGCTACTGAATTCCCCATGGAATACAAATTATTTGGGATGGGCTGCAGCAAACAAATATTTGATGCCCAACACACACTAGAAAAGCTGGTTTTAAAGACCTGCTTGGTGGTGGAGTTGTCCTTACCCTCTCTGAGGGCAGTGTTCACATGACCCCTTTTAAATTGAAAAGCTCAGACGTTACAGGGTGACTGTACCAGGGGTTGGGGTCAATTCCATTTCCATTCCAGTCAGTTTGGGAAGTACACTACAATTCCAATCCATTCTCTTCAATAGTTCCATGAGGAACATTTGGAATTGAAATTTGGGTTTGCTTTCTAAATTGACTGGAATTTCAACGGAATGGACCCGAACTCTGGACTGTACCGTATGGCACTTGTACATACGCTATGCTGTTAAATGTTTTGAGGAACTTTTGTACCAACATTCCCAAGATGTAATATTGAAAATATTATAGATATATCTTATATATGTAATACAATGCATATGCACACAGTGGTTTCAAATGGTTTTGTGTCTGATTAATCCTATAACATATTGTAGTTCGTGAAGTCCTAAGAATGTTGGTACATATCTCACACCAAACTGATGCAATGCATAATTTATATACACGACACGATATATAACATTCAATTTAGCAGCAATAGGACTAGATAATGAAACATTTATGAAAACGCCACACCAAACGGTCCTGTAGGTTTTTGGTCCACGCTACCTACACTACCTAGTGGGCGGAGCGACTTTTGTAGTCTTTTTAGTCATGTCAACAACATGCCGGAGTCCAGAAGTGAGGCAGAGACACGAGAAAGGACTTCTAAAAACATAATTTCGGTAATTTCTCAGTTCGCTGACGATCATTTAACCATTGTCCGGGTAAGATCCAAATGGGATACAAATTGCAAATTCAAGCATTGACGGGGATTAGACGGTTCGTTCAAATGAGACCGCAAATCAGCTGTTGTTAAAATAGACTAAAGGTCTAGCTAACACATTCCAACATCTTTGGCTAACATCTATCTGTTTTCACCTCTAGAACATCAGTACTGGACTAGCAATTGCCGGGGTAATAGTAATATCAAGGAGTATTAAAATGGTAAGTAGTTTAGCCTATGCATTAAAAGCGAGCTGTGATGCAGGCATGTTCCCCCAGGACGCGGTAGCGAGTCAGGTTTCACACAAACCCTGGTTGAAGACTGGGGCGAAATGTTCTGTCTGCCCGATGTCAAGGGAATTATCTTGACGACGCCGACAGATTGTGGCGTTTTAACCAGACTGGAGATGAGATGAGCCCTTCTGCCTTGTTCAATGAAATGCCAGATGGCTGCTCTGCATAGGTTATAAGGTCAGGGTCAATTTATGACGGAGGGTGGCAGTTGATGAGCTGTTTATCTAATGTGTTTATCTTAGTTGATGTTGTTTAGTTACAGCCTTTTCTTAACCAGATCATCAATCTCCATCCCGTGCCTTTAGAAGTGTCCTGCTGATCTGTCGTTTTGTTTAAGTAATATAATTATCTGTCGTTTTGTTTAAGTAATATAATTATCTGTCGTTTTGTTTAAGTAATATAATTATCTGTCGTTTTGTTTAAGTAATATAATTATCTGTCGTTTTGTTTAAGTGATCATTATCTGTCGTTTTGTTTAAGTAAAATAATGATGTGTCGTTTTGTTTAAGTAATAGAATACTAGTAGCGGTTCCAATTTTGTGTTGCCAAAACAATATTTTATGGTGACTTCATAGGAAGGTACAGTGTAACTGATTACAACACATTGTACTTACAACAGTTACAAATGCTTTTCTAACAAGGTCTTTCATGCCTCACCACCCTCGTCAGATCACTAGGTTTGGCCTCTGAGATCCCAGCAAGGTTCATAGAGGGAGAGTCCAGACCGTCACAGAGAGAGCCCTGGAGGAGGGGTACACCCCCATCTACCTCCCTCTCCTCCCCCCTGCTGGCTAAAGGTACCCCCATCTACCGCCCTCTCCTCCCCCCCCTGCTGGCTAAAGGTACCCCCATCTACCTCCCTCTCCTCTCCCCCTGCTGGCTAAAGGTACCCCATCTACTCTCCCCCCCCCCCCCCCCCCCCCCCTGCGGCTAAAGGACCCCCATCTACCTCCCCCCCCCCCTGCCCCCCTCCCCCGCTAAAGCCCCCATCTACCTCCCTCCCTCCCCCCTGCTGGCTAAAGGTACCCTCCCTCTCCCCTCTCCCCCTCCCTCTCCTCCCCCCCCTGCTGGCTAAAGGTACCCCATCTACCCTCCTCCCCTCCTCCCCCCCTCCCCCCTGCTGGCTAAAGGTACCCCCATCTACCCCCCCTCTCCTCTCCCCCCTGCTGGCTAAAGGTACCCCCATCTACCTCCCTCTCCTCCCCCCCTGCTGGCTAAAGGTACCCCCATCTACCTCCCTCTCCTCCCCCCTGCTGGCTAAGGTACCCCCATCCTGGCTAAGGTACCCCCCCATCTACTCCCTCCCTCTCCCCCCTGCTGGCTAAAGGTACCCCCCCTCTCCCCATCCCTCTCCTCTCTCCCCCCTGCTGGCTAAAGGTACCCCCATCTCACTCCCTCTCCTCTCCCCCCTGCTGGCTAAAGGTAACCCCATCTACTCCTCTCCTCTCCCCCCTGCTGGCTAAAGGTACCCCCCCCATCTACCTCCCCCTCTCCTCCCCCCTGCTGCTAAAGTACCCCCCCATCTACCTCCCTCCCCTCTCCCCCCTGCTGGCTAAAGGTACCCCCATCTACATCCCTCTCCCTCTCCCCCCCTGCTGGCTAAAGGTACCCCCATCTACCTCCCTCTCCTCCCCCCCTCTGGCTAAAGGTCACCCCATCTACCTCCCTCTCCCTCTCCCCCCCTGCTTGCTAAGGTACCCCCATCTACATCCCCTCCCTCTCCCCCCTGCTGGCTAAAGGTACCCCCATCTACATCCCTCCCCTCTCCCCCCTGCTGGCTAAAGGTACCCCCATCTACATCCCCCTCCTCTCCCCCCTGCTGGCTAAAGGTACGGGAAGAATGGATGGGTTAACTTCCCGTTCAACTTTCCAACACACAGACAGAGCCCACAGGGTAAAGGCCAATTACAGTGTGATAATTAGGATTCACCTCCCAGCTGTTGAAAAGTCTCATCATTCACACAGCTGTCCCAAATTAGTCATTTATGTCTCTACTAATCCCAAGCTATTGGACACATCAAAACAGATCTATTACTTTGTGGCTATTAGTGTCATAACTGTGTCAACCATAGACCGTCTGCTGCTGTCTTTAACATAACTGTGTCAGCCATAGACCGTCTGCTGCTGTCTTTAACATAACTGTGTCAGCCATAGACCGTCTGCTGCTCTCTTTAACATAACTGTGTCAGCCATATACCGTCTGCTGCTGTCTTTAACACAACTGTGTCAGCCGTAGACCGTCTGCTGCTGTCTTTAACATAACTGTGTCAGCCATAGACCGTCTGCTGCTGTCTTTAACATAACTGTGTCAGCCATAGACCGTCTGCTGCTCTCTTTAACATAACTGTGTCAGCCATATACCGTCTGCTGCTGTCTTTAACACAACTGTGTCAGCCGTAGACCGTCTGCTGCTGTCTTTAACACAACTGTGTCAGCCGTAGACCGTCTGCTGCTGTCTTTAACACAACTGTGTCAGCCGTAGACCGTCTGCTGCTGTCTTTAACACAACTGTGTCAGCCGTAGACCGTCTGCTGCTGTCTTTAACATAACTGTGTCAACCATAGACCGTCTGCTGCTGTCTTTAACACAACTGTGTCAGCCATAGACCGTCTGCTGCTCGCTTTAACTATTCTGTTTGATTTAGTGGAAGAGAAGGTTGCAGGGTCAGTTACTGTCTGTGTTAGCAGGGTCAGTTACTGTCTGTCTCTGTTAGCGGGGTCAGTTACTGTCTGTGTCTGTTAGCAGGGTCAGTTACTGTCTGTCTGTTAGCGGGGTCAGTTACTGTCTGTGTTTGTTAGCAGGGTCAGTTACTGTCTGTCTCTGTTAGCAGGGTCAGTTACTGTCTGTCTCTGTTAGCGGGGTCAGTTACTGTCTGTGTCTATTAGCAGGGTCAGTTGCTGTCTGTCTCTGTTAGCGGGGTCAGTTACTGTCTGGTGTCTGTTAGCAGGGTCAGTTACTGTCTGGTGTCTGTTAGCAGGGTCAGTTACTGTCTGTCTCTGTTAGCGGGGTCAGTTACTGTCTGTGTCTGTTAGCAGGGTCAGTTGCTGTCTGTCTCTGTTTGCGGGGTCAGTTACTGTCTGTGTCTGTTAGCAGGGTCAGTTACTGTCTGGTGTCTGTTAGCAGGGTCAGTTACTGTCTGTGTCTGTTAGCAGGGTCAGTTACTGTCTGGTGTCTGTTAGCAGGGTCAGTTACTGTCTGTGTCTGTTAGCGGGGTCAGTTACTGTCTGTGTCTGTTAGCGGGGTCAGTTACTGTCTGTGTCTGTTAGCAGGGTCAGTTACTGTCTGGTGTCTGTTAGCGGGGTCAGTTACTGTCTGGTGTCTGTTAGCAGGGTCAGTTACTGTCTGGTGTCTGTTAGCGGGGTCAGTTACTGTCTGGTGTCTGTTAGCAGGGTCAGTTACTGTCTGGTGTCTGTTAGCAGGATCAGTTACTGTCTGTGTCTGTTAGCAGGATCAGTTACTGTCTGTCAACCTGTCAACAGGTTCAGTAAGGCTGCGTTTACATAGGCAGCCAAATTCTGATATTCTTTTTTACTAATTGGTCTTTTGACCAATCAGTTCAGCTCTGAAAAAGATCTGATGTGAAACGATCTGATGTGAAACGATCTGATGTGATTGGTCAAAAGACCAATTAGTGGAAAAAATATCAGAATTGGGCTGGCTGTGTAAACGCAGCCTTGCTGTCTGATTGGACTAATATGAGTTAGTTACTGACTCTCTGGTGTCTTCAGGACACTGTTACTCTCGTTCTTTATGACTATATTAATTAACTGCTCTCTTTAACGTAACTGTCAACCATAGACAGTCTGCTGCTCTCTTTAACATACAGTGGTGTGAAAAAGTGTTTGCCCCCTTCCTGATTTCTTATTTGTTTGCATGTTTGTCAATCTTAAATGTTTCAGATCAAACTAATTTAAATATTAGTCAAAGATAACACAAGTAAACACAAAATGCAGTTTTGAAATTAAGGTTGTTATTATTAAGGGAAAACAAAATCCAAACCCACATGGCCCTGTGTGAAAAAGTGATTGCCCCCTACAACCTAATAACTGGTTGGGCCACCCTTAGCAGCAACAACTGCAATCAAGCGTTTGCGATAACGTACAATTAGTCTTTTACAGCGCTGTGGAGGAATTTTGGCCCACTCATCTTTGCAGAATTGTTGTAATTCAGCCACATTGGAGGGTTTTCGAACATGAACTGCCTTTTTAAGGTCATGCCACAGCATCTCAATAGGATTCAGGTCAGGACTTTGACTAGGCCACTCAAGTCTTCATTTTGTTTTTCCTTCAGCCATTCAGAGGTGGACTTGCTGGTGTGTTTTGGATCATTGTCCTGCTGCAGAACCCAAGTTCGCTTCATCTTGAGGTCACGAACAGATGGCCGGACATTCTCCTTCAGGATTTTTTGGTAGACAGCAGAATTCATGGTTCCATTTATCACAGCAAGTCTTCCAGGTCCCGAAGCAGCAAAACAGGCCCAGACCATCACACTACCACCACCATATTTTACTGTTGGTATGATGTTATTTTTCTGAAATGCGGTGTTAATTTTATGCCAGATGTAATGGGACACACACCTTCCAAAAAGTTCAACTTTTGTCTCGTCAGTCCACAGAGTATTTTCCCAAAGGTCTTGGGGATCATCAAGATGTTTTCTGGCAAAAATGAGACGAGCCTTAATGTTATTTTTGCTCAACAGTGGTTTTCGTCTTGGAACCACCTGCCCAGTCTCTTTCTTATGGTGGAGTCATGAACACTGAGGCAAGTGAGGCCTGCAGCTCTTTGGATGTTGTTGTGGGGTCTTTTGTGACCTCTTGGATGAGTCGTCGCTGCGCTCTTGGGGTAATTTTGGTCGGCCGACCACTCCTGGGAAGGTTCACCACTGTTCCATGTTTTCGCCATTTGTGGATAATGGCTCTCACTGTGGTTCGCTGGAGTCCCAAAGCTTTAGAAATGGCTTTATAACCTTTTCCAGACTGATGGATCTTAATTACTTTCTTTCTCATTTGTTCCTGAATTTCTTTGGATCTCAGCATGATGTCTAGCTTTTGAGGATCTTTTGGTCTACTTCACTTTGTCAGGCAGGTCCTATTTAAGTGATTCCTTGATTGAGAACAGGTGTGGCAGTAATCAGGCCTGGGTGTGGCTAGAGGAATTGAACTCAGGTGTGATAAACCACAGTTGAGTTGTTTTATAACAGGGGGGGGCAAACACTTTTTCACACAGGGCCATGTAGGTTTGGATTTTGTTTTCCCTTAATAATAACAACCTTCATTTCAAAACTGCATTTTGTGTAACTGAATTCTTTAACATAACTGTGTCAGCCATAGACCGTCTGCTGCTCTCTTTAACATAACTGTGTCAGCCATAGACCGTCTGCTGCTCTCTTTAACATAACTGTCAACCGTAGACCGTCTGCTGCTCTCTTTAACATAACTGTGTCAGCCATAAACCGTCTGCTGCTCTCTTTAACGTAACTGTCAGCCATAGACCGTCTGCTGCTCTCTTTAACATAACTGTGTCAGCCATAGACCGTCTGCTGCTCTCTTTAACCTAACTGTCAACCATTAACCGTCTGCTGCTCTCTTTAACCTAACTGTCAACCATATACCGTCTGCTGCTCTCTTTAACGTAACTGTGTCAACCATAGACCGTCTGCTGCTCTCTTTAACATAATTGTCAACCATAGACCGTCTGCTGCTCTCTTTAACATAACTGTGTCAACCATAGACCGTCTGCTGCTCTCTTTAACATAACTGTGTCAACCATAGACCGTCTGCTGCTCTCTTTAACCTAACTGTCAACCATTAACCGTCTGCTGCTCTCTTTAACCTAACTGTCAACCATATACCGTCTGCTGCTCTCTTTAACGTAACTGTGTCAACCATAGACCGTCTGCTGCTCTCTTTAACATAATTGTCAACCATAGACCGTCTGCTGCTCTCTTTAACATAACTGTGTCAACCATAGACCGTCTGCTGCTCTCTTTAACATAACTGTGTCAACCATAGACCGTCTGCTGCTCTCTTTAACATAATTGTCAACCATAGACCGTCTGCTGCTCTCTTTAACATAACTGTGTCAACCATAGACCGTCTGCTGCTCTCTTTAACATAACTGTGTCAACCATAGACCGTCTGCTGCTCTCTTTAACGTAACTGTGTCAACCATAGACCGTCTGCTGCTCTCTTTAACGTAACTGTGTCAACCATAGACCGTCTGCTGCTCTCTTTAACATAATTGTCAACCATAGACCGTCTGCTGCTCTCTTTAACGTAACTGTGTCAACCATAGACCGTCTGCTGCTCTCTTTAACATAACTGTGTCAACCATAGACCGTCTGCTACTCTCTTTAACATAACTGTGTCAACCATAGACCGTCTGCTGCTCTCTTTAACATAACTGTGTCAACCATAGACCGTCTGCTGCTCTCTTTAACATAACTGTGTCAACCATAGACCGTCTGCTGCTCTCTTTAACATAACTGTGTCAACCATAGACCGTCTGCTGCTCTCTTTAACGTAACTGTGTCAACCATAGACAGTCTGCTGCTGTCTTTAACATAACAGTGTCAGCCATATACCGTCTGCTGCTCTCTTTAACATAACTGTCAGCCATAGACCGTCTGCTGCTGTCTTTAACATAACTGTCAGCCATAGACCGTCTGCTGCTCTCTTTAACATAACTGTGTCAACCATAGACCGTCTGCTGCTCACTTTAACTGTGCTGTTTGATTTAGTGGAAGAGAAGGTTGGCTTTGATATTTGCTGAAGTATTGTAGTCAACCTAATGGTTGGTCTCTCCTGTAGAGACAGTTTTTAATATATTTTCCTAAAAGCAAAGTAAACACAATTTTAATCCAATGAATTTGATTTGATAGGTATTGGATCATGGCTTGACGTCTGATAAAGGTCGTTGTGACTGAAACCATCACCATCTTTTTCATCTTTATCTAATTAAGACCAACATGTTTCTAAACGTGAGTGTCAGGCCTTCTGTCCACATTTAGAGGCACCGGACCGTACACTTTTACAAGATTTAGTTTAGCTCCCTTCATCAGTAAGCCTGTTAGAGAAGAGGCTGAGTTAGCATAGGAAGCCTGTTAGAGAAGAGGCTAGCAGCAGGATTAGGTTACGGTTCTGCTTTGCAGTCAAACTGAGTTAGAGGGTATTAGATAGTGCTCTTTCAGCTCCATCCGAGGCCAGGGAGATTTTCTAACAAAGCTCTCCTCTAGTTAAAGAGATTAGAAGTCTCTCTCTATAGCTTTGTGTCTTTTGAGTTCCTGTTGTTTTACGACACAGGCTTGACCTCTGGCCACATGTTTTGTTGTTGCATGTATTTCCTTTCCTGTGCCTTTAGTAATACAGTATATCTACTGCTGTAGTTGTAAATCTTTCCATAGTGCATGTCTGCTGCTATATCTTCCAACAGTCTGTCTTTCTGTTTGTTCTTTCAGTTTGTCACGATCTTGTCTATGCAATGGACCACAGCCATAGTTAAGAACTCCTTAGCTCAGGTGTACTGTACGTGTCTCACCTGGGCATGTCTTCTCTCTTCAGGTGGTGGTGGTGGTGGTGTGTTTCCCCTGGCTGTGCACCTGGTGGGGGTGGAGCTGACCCCAGAGGGGAGGGTGTGGCTGGAGCAGCACCTGAGCCCGGCCCAGACGGTGTGGTTCAAACTGTTCAGCAGAGAGGAGGAGACACTACACTGTCTGGTGTCTGTTAGCGGGGCCAGTTACTGTCTGGTGTCTGTTAGCAGGGTCAGTTACTGTCTGTGTCTGTTAGCGGGTCGTTACTGTCTGTTCTCTGTTGCAGGGTCAGTTACTGTTCTGGTTCTGTTAGAGGGTCCAGTTATGTCTGTTCTGTTAGCAGGTCAGTTACTGTCTGGTGTTTCTGTTAGCGGGGTCAGTTACTGTCTGGTCATGTAGCGGGTCAGTTACTGTCTGTTCTGTTAGCAGGGGTCAGTTACTGTCTGGTGTCTGTTAGCGGGGCAGTTACTGTCTGGTGTCTGTTAGCGGGGCCAGTTACTGTCTGGTGTCTGTTAGCAGGGTCAGTTACTGTCTGTTAGCAGGGTCAGTTACTGTCTGGTGTCTGTTAGCGGGGTCAGTTACTGTCTGGTGTCTGTTAGCGGGGTCAGTTACTGTCTGGTGTCTGTTAGCAGGGTCAGTTACTGTCTGGTGTCTGTTAGCGGGGCAGTTACTGTCTGGTGTCTGTTAGCGGGTCAGTTACTGTCTGGTGTCTGTTAGCGGGGTCAGTTACTGTCTGTGTCTGTTAGCGGGTCAGTTACTGTCTGGTGTCTGTTAGCGGGTCAGTTACTGTCTGGTGTCTGTTAGCGGGGTCAGTTACTGTCTGTGTCTGTTAGCGGGTCAGTTACTGTCTGGTGTCTGTTAGCGGGGTCAGTTACTGTCTGTGTCTGTTAGCGGGGTCAGTTACTGTCTGGTGTCTGTTAGCGGGGTCAGTTACTGTCTCTCTGTTAGCAGGGTCGTTACTGTCTGTTGTAGCAGGGTCAGTTACTGTCTGGTGTTCTGTTTAGCAGGGTCAGTTACTGTCTGTGTCTGTTAGCGGGGTCAGTTACTGTCTGGTGTCTGTTAGCGGGGTCAGTTACTGTCTGGTGTCTTGTTAGTCAGGTCAGTTTACTGTCCTGTGTCTGTTAGCAGGGTCAGTTACTGTCTGGTGTCTGTTAGCAGGGTCAGTTACTGTCTGTTAGTGCAGGCGTCAGTTACTGTCGTGTCTTTTAGCAGGGTCAGTTACTGTCTGTGTCTGTTAGCAGGGTCAGTTACTGTCTGTCTGTTAGCAGGGTCAGTTACTGTCTGTGTCTGTTAGCAGGGTCAGTTACTGTCTGGTGTCTTGTTAGCGGGGTCAGTTACTGTCTGTGTCTTTACGGTCAGTTACGTCTTATGCAGGGTCAGTTACTGTCTGTGTCTGTTAGCAGGGTCAGTTACTGTCTGTGTCTGTTAGCAGGGTCAGTTTACTGTCTGTGTCTGTTAGCAGGGTCAGTTACTGTCTGGTCGTCCTGTTAGCAGGGTCAGTTACTGTCTGGTGTCTGTTAGCGGGTCAGTTACTGTCTGTGTCTGTTAGCGGGTCAGTTACTGTCTGTGTCTGTTAGCAGGGTCAGTTACTGTCTGTGTCTGTTAGCGGGTCAGTTACTGTCTGTGTCTGTTAGCAGGGTCAGTTACTGTCTGTGTCTGTTAGCGGGGTCAGTTACTGTCTGGTGTCTGTTAGCGGGGTCAGTTACTGTCTGTGTCCTGTTAGCGGGGTCAGTTACTGTATGGTGTCTGTTAGCAGGGTCAGTTACTGTCTGGTGTCTGTTAGCAGGGTCAGTTACTGTCTGGTGTCTGTTAGCAGGGTCAGTTACTGTCTGTCTGTTAGCGGGTCAGTTACTGTCTGGTGTCTGTTAGCGGGTCAGTTACTGTCTGTGTCTGTTAGCGGGTCAGTTACTGTATGTGTCTGTTAGCAGGGTCAGTTACTGTCTGGTGTCTGTTAGCGGGTCAGTTACTGTCTGGTGTCTGTTAGCAGGGTCAGTTACTGTCTGTGTCTGTTAGCAGGGTCAGTTACTGTCTGTGTCTGTTAGCAGGGTCAGTTACTGTCTGTGTCTGTTAGCAGGGTCAGTTACTGTCTGTGTCTGTTAGCAGGGTCAGTTACTGTCTGGTGTCTGTTAGCGGGTCAGTTACTGTGGTCTGTTAGCAGGGTCAGTTACTGTCTGTGTCTGTTAGCAGGGTCAGTTACTGTTGGTGTCTGTTAGCGGGTCAGTTACTGTCTGGTGTCTGTTAGCGGGTCAGTTACTGTCTGGTGTCTGTTAGCAGGGGTCAGTTACTGTCTGTGTCTGTTAGCGGGTCAGTTACTGTTCTGGGTCGTGTTTTAGCGGGTCAGTTACTGTCTGGTGTCTGTTAGCGGGGTCGTTACTGTCTGTGTCTGTTAGCGGGGTCAGTTACTGTCTGGTGTCTGTTAGCGGGGTCAGTTACTGTCTGTTCTGTTAGCGGGGTCAGTTACTGTCTGGTGTCTGTTAGCGGGGTCAGTTACTGTCTGTGTCTGTTAGCAGGGTCAGTTACTGTCTGTGTCTGTTAGGGGGTCAGTTACTGTCTTGTCTGTTAGCGGGTCAGTTACTGTCTGTCTCTGTTAGCGGGTCAGTTACTGTCTGTGTCTGTTAGCGGGTCAGTTACTGTCTGTCTGTTAGCAGGGTCAGTTACTGTCTGTGTCTGTTAGCGGGGTCAGTTACTGTCTGGTGTCTGTTAGCGGGGTCAGTTACTGTTGTGTCTGTTAGCAGGGTCAGTTACTGTCTGGTGTCTGTTAGCGGGGTCAGTTACTGTCTGGTGTCTGTTAGCGGGGTCAGTTAACTGTCTGGTGTCTGTTAGCGGGGGTCAGTTACTGTCTGGTGTCTGTTAGCGGGGTCAGTTACTGTCTGGTGTCCTGTTAGCGGGGTCAGTTACTGTCTGGTGTCTGTTAGCAGGGTCAGTTACTGTCTGGTGTCTGTTAGCGGGGTCAGTTACTGTATGTGTCTGTTAGCGGGGTCAGTTACTGTATGTGTCTGTTAGCAGGGTCAGTTACTGTATGTGTCTGTTAACAGGGTCAGTTACTGTATGTGTCTGTTAGCAGGGTCAGTTACTGTCTGGTGTCTGTTAGCAGGGTCAGTTACTGTCTGTGTCTGTTAGCAGGGTCAGTTACTGTCTGTGTCTGTTAGCAGGGTCAGTTACTGTCTGTGTAGCAGGGCCAGTTACTGTCTGGTGTCTGTTAGCGGGGTCAGTTACTGTCTGGTGTCTGTTAGCGGGGTCAGTTACTGTCTGGTGTCTGTTAGCGGGGTCAGTTACTGTCTGGTGTCTGTTAGCGGGGTCAGTTACTGTCTGGTGTCTGTTAGCGGGGTCAGTTACTGTCTGGTGTCTGTTAGCGGGGTCAGTTACTGTCTGGTGTCTGTTTAGTGGGGTCAGTTACTGTCTGGTGTCTGTTAGCGGGGTCAGTTACTGTCTGTCTCTGTTAGCGGGGTCAGTTACTGTCTGTCTCTGTTAGCGGGGTCAGTTACTGTCTGTCTGTTAGCAGGGTCAGTTACTGTCTGTTAGCAGGGCCAGTTACTGTCTGTGTCTGTTAGCAGGGTCAGTTACTGTCTGGTGTTTGTTAGCGGGGTCAGTTACTGTCTGTCTCTGTTAGCGGGGTCAGTTACTGTCTGGTGTCTGTTAGCGGGGTCAGTTACTGTCTGGTGTCTGTTAGCGGGGTCAGTTACTGTATGTGTCTGTTAGCAGGGTCAGTTACTGTCTGTGTCTGTTAGCAGGGTCAGTTACTGTCTGTGTCTGTTAGCAGGGTCAGTTACTGTCTGTGTCTGTTAGCGGGGTCAGTTACTGTCTGGTGTCTGTTAGCGGGGTCAGTTACTGTCTGGTGTCTGTTAGCGGGGTCAGTTACTGTATGTGTCTGTTAGCAGGGTCAGTTACTGTCTGGTGTCTGTTAGCGGGGTCAGTTACTGTCTGGTGTCTGTTAGCGGGGTCAGTTACTGTCTGTCTCTGTTAGCGGGGTCAGTTACTGTCTGGTGTCTGTTAGCGGGGTCAGTTACTGTCTGGTGTCTGTTAGCAGGGTCAGTTACTGTCTGGTGTCTGTTAGCAGGGTCAGTTACTGTCTGGTGTCTGTTAGCGGGGTCAGTTACTGTATGTGTCTGTTAGCAGGGTCAGTTACTGTATGTGTCTGTTAGCAGGGTCAGTTACTGTATGTGTCTGTTAGCAGGGTCAGTTACTGTCTGGTGTCTGTTAGCAGGGTCAGTTACTGTCTGTGTCTGTTAGCAGGGTCAGTTACTGTCTGTGTCTGTTAGCAGGGTCAGTTACTGTCTGTTAGCAGGGCCAGTTACTGTCTGTGTCTGTTAGCAGGGTCAGTTACTGTCTGGTGTCTGTTAGCGGGGTCAGTTACTGTCTGGTGTCTGTTAGCGGGGTCAGTTACTGTCTGGTGTCTGTTAGCGGGGTCAGTTACTGTCTGGTGTCTGTTAGCGGGGTCAGTTACTGTCTGGTGTCTGTTAGCGGGGTCAGTTACTGTCTGGTGTCTGTTAGCGGGGTCAGTTACTGTCTGGTGTCTGTTTAGTGGGGTCAGTTACTGTCTGGTGTCTGTTAGCAGGGTCAGTTACTGTCTGTCTCTGTTAGCGGGGTCAGTTACTGTCTGTCTCTGTTAGCGGGGTCAGTTACTGTCTGTCTGTTAGCAGGGTCAGTTACTGTCTGTCTCTGTTAGCGGGGTCAGTTACTGTCTGGTGTCTGTTAGCGGGGTCAGTTACTGTCTGGTGTCTGTTAGCGGGGTCAGTTACTGTCTGTCTCTGTTAGCGGGGTCAGTTACTGTCTGGTGTCTGTTAGCGGGGTCAGTTACTGTCTGTCTCTGTTAGCGGGGTCAGTTACTGTCTGTCTCTGTTAGCGGGGTCAGTTACTGTCTGGTGTCTGTTAGCGGGGTCAGTTACTGTCTGTGTTTGTTAGCAGGGTCAGTTACTGTCTGGTGTCTGTTAGCGGGGTCAGTTACTGTCTGTCAACCTGTCAACAGGTTCAGTAAGGCTGCGTTTACATAGGCAGCCAAATTCTGATATTCTTTTTCACTAATTGGTCTTTTGACCAATCAGTTCAGCTCTGAAAAAGATCTGATGTGAAACGATCTGATGTGATTGGTCAAAAGACCAATTAGTGGAAAAAATATCAGAATTGGGCTGGCTGTGTAAACGCAGCCTTGCTGTCTGATTGGACTAACATGAGTTAGTTACTGACTCTCTGGTGTCTTCAGGACACTGTTACTCTAGTTATTTATGACTGTATTAAATAACAGAATGTTGAAGACAATGAAACCTACAGATATGTGTTTTTAACCTCACTCTGTTCTCTGTTCCCAAGGGGTCATTGAGGAGTCTGTGTCTGAATGACGAGGTGTTGAGGTTGGGTCTGGCACGCACCGTCCCAGTCTCTGGACTCCACCCCCAGGCCTGCGGCTCCACCAACGGCTACTCAGGGCAGAGGTCAAGGCTGAGCGGAAGGGGCGGGGCATGTGGAAAGAAGACAGCCTATGGGAGAGGACCTCACAGGCTGTCTGACTCAGACTCATCAGGAGGATCTTCAAGTGGACGTGATTGGTTGACTGACAGTGATTGGTTGATTCAAGTGGGTTTGAAAGTAAGTTCATGAATGTAGCAAGACTCAAGCTCATCTCAGAATACAGCTCTGCCATCATGTCTGTTTTTGAGAAGCGGATAATCTATTTGTCAACTAATTGCCACTTCACCGATTGCTGTCAAAATAGAAATGGACAATATTCATACGATTACCTGTGCAAATCATATTTTATCGGGGAAAAGTGTGAAATGATGTCTCAAAAGAATGGGGGTATCGACGGAAATCATAGACATGGGACAAAAATGCTTTGACCCACGTGTTTATCAAAGTTTATTTATCGATGGGGATTAAACGCACTGACACGGCAACTACATAACCAGAGAGAATAGAAAATGGTCTACTTACAGTAAGTGTTCTCCTTTGTGGTGTCACATCTGCTCCTGCAACGCCCTCTACTGCTCATCCTGTGTCTCCTTGACCTGCCGCCACTCATCCAGTTCTCTCTCTCTCTTCCCCCTCTTTCTTTCTCTCTCTCTTTCCTCCTCTTTCTCTCTCTCTTTCCCCCTCTTTCTCTCTCTCTCTTTCTCTCTCCCCTCTCTCTCTCTCTCTCTCTCTCTCTCTCGTGTGATTGTGTGGGCGGAGACAGGCGTGCTGGAGTCAGAGCAGATCCCCACCAGCTGCAACCTGTTCCATAATCAAGACCTCTACAAATACTCAGTCCTGCCACTTCCACACTGCCAGATCGTAATCTCTGCTCAGTCAGTCTACGGTTCTAGCCGTTTGTTACTAATCAGATCCTGTTGTGCCTGTTTTCCTCTCCGCTACAGTTCTGGTCCCTGTCTCCTGTCCCACGTCTCATCATCCTCCTACTCTGTCCTGGATTCCCCACTCTACTACTCCCTTGGATTCCCCTCCGGACCTGCTCACCCTGTCTCAACCCCCCTTCGCTCCAGCCGCTTCCAGCAGTTTCCCCTGACCTGCACTCCATCTCCCCCCTGTGTCTCAATAAATACCTTGGTTACTTCATTCCATTCATCAGAGTCTGCTCTTGGGTTCCCCTGTTTCCACTCCGCGTAACACGTGGGATAGACATTTGTTGATGTTTGATTAGATCATGTAAAAAAGAACTTGCCAGTGAGAAAAATCCACATATCTAAGTCAATCGCAATGTTTTAGAATATTTACCTGATTGTGAAATAAATATTCATTGGTTCAATTCATTTCTACCTTGTTTTTAATATTATAGATGATCAATCATGAATAAGCAATGCTGCATGTAAAAACAATTGTGAAATTTGATGGGAGATTGTGATGGGGTGGTTACAAATTCTCTTTGGGGCGGTACCTCAGAAAGCGCTGGTTGGATAGAGGGTAATTTTATGCTAATGTATTAAATGATGCCCATATGTACAGTTGAAGTTGGAAGTTTACATACACTTCGGTTGGAGTCATTAAAACTCGTTTTTCAACCACTCCACAAATGTCTTGTTAACAAACTATAGTTTTGGCAAGTCGGTTAGGACATCTACTTTGTGCATGACACAAGTAATTTTTCTAACAGTTGTTTACAGACAGATTATTTCACTTATAATTCACTGTATCACAATTCCAGAGGGTCAGAAGTTTACATACACTAAGTTGACTGTGCCTTTAAACAGCTTGGAAAATTCCAGAAAATGATGTCATGGCTTTAGAAGCTTCTGATAGGCTAATTGACATCATTTGAGTGAATTGGAGGTGTACCTGTGGATGTATTTCAAGGCCTACCTTCAAACTCAGTCCTTCTTTGCTTGACATCATGGGAAAATCTAAAGAAATCAGCCAAGACCTCTGGAAAAAAATGGTAGACCTCCACAAGTCTGGTTCATCCTTGGGAGCAATTTCCAAACGCCTGAAGGTACCACGTTCATCTGTACAAACAATAGTACGCAAGTATAAACACCATGGGACCACGCAGCTGTTATCCCGCTCAGGAAGGAGACGCGTTCTGTCTCCTAGAGATGAACGTACTTTGGTGTGAAAAGTGCAAATCAATCCCAGAACAACAGCAAAGGACCTTGTGAAGAAGCTGGAGGAAACAGGTACAAAAGTATCTACACTGCTCAAAAAAATAAAGGGAACACTGAAAAAACACATCCTAGATCTGAATGAATGAAATAATCTTATTAAATACTTTTTTCTTTACATAGTTGAATGTGCTGACAACAAAATCACACAAAAATTATCAATGGAAATCAAATGTATCAACCCATGGAGGTCTGGATTTGGAGTCACACTCAAAATTAAAGTGGAAAACCACACTACAGGCTGATCCAACTTTGATGTAATGTCCTTAAAACAAGTCAAAATGAGGCTCAGTAGTGTGTGTGGCCTCCACGTGCCTGTATGACCTCCCTACAACGCCTGGGCATGCTCCTGATGAGGTGGCGGATGGTCTCCTGAAGGATCTCCTCCCAGACCTGGACTAAAGCATCCGCCAACTCCTGGACAGTCTGTGGTGCAACGTGGCGTTGGTGGATGGAGCGAGACATGATGTCCCAGATGTGCTCAATTGGATTCAGGTCTGGGGAACGGGCGGGCCAGTCCATAGCATCAATGCCTTCCTCTTGCAGGAACTGCTGACACACTCCAGCCACATGAGGTCTAGCATTGTCTTGCATTAGGAGGAACCCAGGGCCAACCGCACCAGCATATGGTCTCACAAGTGGTCTGAGGATCTCATCTCAGTACCTAATGGCAGTCAGGCTACCTCTGGCGAGCACATGGAGGGCTGTGCGGCCCCCCAAAGAAATGCCACCCCACACCATGACTGACCCACCGCCAAACCGGTCATGCTGGAGGATGTTGCAGGCAGCAGAACGTTCTCCACGGCGTCTCCAGACTCTGTCACGTCTGTCACATGTGCTCAGTGTGAACCTGCTTTCATCTGTGAAGAGCACAGGGCGCCAGTGGCGAATTTGCCAATCTTGGTGTTCTCTGGCAAATGCCAAACGTCCTGCACGGTGTTGGGCTGTAAGCACAACGCCCACCTGTGGACGTCGGGCCCTCATACCACCCTCATGGAGTCTGTTTCTGACCGTTTGAGCAGACACATGCACATTTGTGGCCTGCTGGAGGTCATTTTGCAGGAATCTGGCAGTGCTCCTCCTGCTCCTCCTTGCACAAAGACGGAGGTCGCGGTCCTGCTGCTGGGTTGTTGCCTTCCTACGGCCTCCTCCACGTCTCCTGATGTACTGGCCTGTCTCCTGGTAGCGTCTCCATGCTCTGGACACTACGCTGACAGACACAGCATACCTTCTTGCCACAGCTCGCATTCATGTGCCATCTTGGATGAGCTGCACTACCTGAGCCACTTGTGTGGGTTGTAGACTCCGTCTCATGCTACCACTAGAGTGAAAGCACGGCCAGCATTCAAAAGTCACCAAAACATCAGCCAGGAAGCATAGGAACTGAGAAGTGGTCTGTGGTCACCACCTGCAGAACCACTCCTTTAATTGGGGTGTCTTGCTAATTGCCTATAATTTCCACCTGTTGTCTATTCCATTTGCACAACAGCATGTGAAATGTATTGTCAATCAGTGTTGCTTCCTAAGTGGACAGTTTGATTTCACAGAAGTGTGATTGACTTGGAGTTACATTGTGTTGTTTAAGTGTTCCCTTTATTTTTTTGAGCAGTGTACAGCGGGGGGGGGGAAGTATTTAGTCAGCCACCAATTGTGCAAGTTCTCCCACTTAAAAAGATGAGAGAGGCCTGTAATTTTCATCATAGGTACACGTCAACTATGACAGACAAATTGAGATTTTTTTTTCATGAAAATCACATTGTAGGATTTTTAATGAAGTTATTTGCAAATTATGGTGGAAAATAAGTATTTGGTCACCTACAAACAAGCTAGATTTCTGGCTCTCACAGACCTGTAACTTCTTCTTTAAGAGGCTCCTCTGTCCTCCACTCGTTACCTGTATTAATGGCACCTGTTTGAACTTGTTAACAGTATAAAAGACACCTGTCCACAACCTCAAACAGTCACACTCCAAAGTGCACTATGGCCAAGACCAAAGAGCTGTCAAAGGACACCAGAAACAAAATTGTAGACCTGCACCAGGCTGGGAAGACTGAATCTGCAATAGGTAAGCAGTTTGGTTTGAAGAAATCAACTGTGGGAGCAATTATTAGGAAATGGAAGACATACAAGACCACTGATAATCTCCCTCGATCTGGGGCTCCACGCAAGATCTCACCCCGTGGGGTCAAAATTATCACAAGAACGGTGAGCAAAAATCCCAGAACCACACGGGGGGACCTAGTGAATGACCTGCAGAGAGCTGGGACCAAAGTAACAAAGCCTACCATCAGTTACACACTACGCCTACCCTGCAGTGCCAGACGTGTCCCCCTGCTTAAGCCAGTACATGTCCAGGCCCGTCTGAAGTTTGCTAGAGTGCATTTGGATGATCCAGAAGAGGATTGGGAGAATGTCAAATGGTCAGATGAAACCAAAATATGACTTTTTGGTAAAAACTCAACTCGTCGTGTTTGGAGGACAAAGAATGCTGAGTTGCATCCAAAGAACACCATACCTACTGTGAAGCATGGGGGTGGAAACATCATGCTTTGGGGCTGTTTTTATGCAAAGGGCCCAGGACGACTGATCCGTGTAAAGGAAAGAATCAATGGGGCCATGTATCGTGAGATTTTGAGTGAAAACCTCCTTCCATCAGCAAGGGCATTGAAGATGAAACGTGGCTGGGTCTTTCAGCATGACAAGTCTGCCTACCCAGGGTTACAGTCTGCCTACCCATGTGAGAGACGCGACCGGTCTCAACCTTTAAGTCTTTATGAAGACTTATCTTCAGTAGGTCATAGATTGATGTAGTCTGGCCCAGGGAGTTTGAAGGTGAACGGGAAAGGCTCTGGAGCAACGAACAGCCCTTGCTGTCTCTGCCAGGCCGGTTCCCCTCTCTCCACTGGGGTTCTCTGCCTCTAACCCTGTTACAGTGGCTGAGTCACTGGCTTGCTGGTGCTCTTCATGCCGTCCCTAGGAGGGGTGCGTCACTTGAGTGGGTTGAGTTACTGACGTGATCTTCCTGTCTGTGTTGCGCCCCCCCTTGGTTTGTGCTGTGGTGGAGACCTCTGTGTGGCTATACTCGGCCTTGTCTCAGGATTTAAGTTGGTGGTTGAGGATATCCCTCTAGTGGTGCGGGGGCTGTGCTTTGGCAGAGTGGGTGGGGTTATATCCTTCCTGTTTGGCCCTGTCCGGGGGTTTCTTCGGATGGGGCCACAGTGTCTCCGGACCGCTCCTGTTCAGCCTCCAGTATTTATGCTGCAGTAGTTATGTGTCGGGGGGCTGGGGTTAGTTGGTTATACCTGGAGTACTTCTCCTGTCTATCCAGTGTCCTGTGTGAATTTAAGTATGCTCTCTCTAATTCTCTCGTTCTCTCTTTCTCTCTGAGAACCTGAGCCCTAGGACCATACGTCAGGACTACCGGGCATGATGACACCTTGCTGTCCCCAGTCCGCCTGGCCTTGCTGCTATTCCAGTCAACTGTTCTGCCGCGGTTACGAAACCCCTACCTGTCCCAGACCTGCTGTTTTCAACTCTTAATGATCGGCTATGAAAAGCCAACTGAGAGACCTGAGCCCTAGGACCATACGTCGGGACTACCGGCCGTGGTGACTCCTTGCTGTCCCCAGTCCGCCTGGCCTTGCTGACTATTCCAGTTTCAACTGTTCTGCCTGCGGTTATGGAACCCCTACCTGTCCCAGACCTGCTGTTTTCAACTCTTAATGATCGGCTATGAAAAGCCAACTGAGATTTATTCCTGATTATTATTTGACCATGCTTGTCACTTATGAACATTTTTGAACATCTTGGCATGGTTTCTGTTATAATCTCCACCCGGCACAGCCAGAAGAGGACTGACCACCCCTCATAGCCTGGTTTCCTCTCTAGGTTTCTTCCTAGGTTTGGCCTT